ATACTGTTCCGCATTCATAACTTGAATGCGGAACTTTGACCGACAAGAGTGCATTGTGCACTCTTGTTGGTCTGCATGTGCCATTCCGGGAGACATTGCCTGTGCATGTCTCCCAGAATGAGACAATTTATTGCAATCAGAATACGATTGCAAAACTTTGACCGACAAGAGTGCATTGTGCACTCTTGTTGGTCTGCATGTGTCATTCCGGGAGACATTGCCTGTGCATGTCTCCCAGAATGGCATACTGTTCCGCATTCATAACTTGAATGCGGAACTTTGACCGACAAGAGTGCATTGTGCACTCTTGTTGGTCTGCATGTGTCATTCCGGGAGACATTGCCTGTGCATGTCTCCCAGAATGAGACAATTTATTGCAATCAGAATACGATTGCAAAACTTTGACCGACAAGAGTGCATTGTGCACTCTTGTTGGTCTGCATGTGTCATTTCGGGAGACATTGCCTGTGCATGTCTCCCAGAATGGCATACTGTTCTGCATTCATAACTTGAATGCGGAACTTTGACCGACAAGAGTGCATTGTGCACTCTTGTTGGTCTGCATGTGCCATTCCGGGAGACATTGCCTGTGCATGTCTCCCAGAATGAGACAATTTATTGCAATCAGAATACGATTACAAAACTTTGACCGACAAGGGTGCATTGTGCACTCTTGTTTGTCATCCACTATGATATTAGAGAAAACACTTTACTTACATTATTTAAAATATTAATTTCCCTATTTAATATTTATTTATTATTTTTTGTGCTTTATATTCCCTATGGCATGTACTGAACTATTTTATAGACTCTACCGAGCTATCTCCACATATAAACATTTGACAATAACACATATATACTCTCTTCATATTCTAGTCTCATGACATATTATTGCAAAAGCTATATTTATACAGCATACCTCATAAAGTCTCATTATATCCCTATCTAAGCGTTCAAAACCTATTTTCCCCACGTAATCTGATTCTTCAGGCTCCGCTGATTCGATTTCTGCTGTCAGATCGTGAAAATATGAATCACATAACAAGATAAACACAAATCCAAAATAATAATGTTTTCTTCAAATTGACTCTTCCACGATATTCATATATTTGTTATTAATTCCGTTTTCCCTTACAAATGTATTTAATTTTCTGAATAATACGTATTATAAAATGAATATCTCAAAAACTAAATTAAAAAATTAATACTGGGTAATAACTAGATATATTGTGACTTTTTGAATTCACACACTTTTGGAAAAAATTGAATTTTTCTAAAATGATGTTGTTTGAACATGAACTTAAAGAGTTTTTTACGGAAAATATCAAGTTGGGTAACTTGTATTTATCTTGTTATGTGATTCATATTTTCACGATCTGACAGCAGAAATCGAATCAGCGGAGCCTGAAGAATCAGATTACGTGGGGAAAATAGGTTTTGAACGCTTAGATAGGGATATAATGAGACTTTATGAGGTATGCTGTATAAATATAGCTTTTGCAATAATATGTCATGAGACTAGAATATGAAGAGAGTATATATGTGTTATTGTCAAATGTTTATATGTGGAGATAGCTCGGTAGAGTCTATAAAATAGTTCAGTACATGCCATAGGGAATATAAAGCACAAAAAATAATAAATAAATATTAAATAGGGAAATTAATATTTTAAATAATGTAAGTAAAGTGTTTTCTCTAAATATCATAGTGGATGACAAACAAGAGTGCACAATGCACCCTTGTCGGTCAAAGTTTTGTAATCGTATTCTGATTGCAATAAATTGTCTCATTCTGGGAGACATGCACAGGCAATGTCTCCCGGAATGACACATGCAGACCAACAAGAGTGCACAATGCACTCTTGTCGGTCAAAGTTTTGCAATCGTATTCTGATTGCAATAAATTGTCTCATTCTGGGAGACATGCACAGGCAATGTCTCCCGGAATGGCACATGCAGACCGACAAGAGTGCATTGTGCACTCTTGTCAGTCAAAGTTTTGTAATCGTATTCTGATTGCAATAAATTGTCTCATTCTGGGAGACATGCACAGGCAATGTCTCCCGGAATGACACATGCAGACCAACAAGAGTGCACAATGCACTCTTGTCGGTCAAAGTTCCGCATTCAAGTTATGAATGCGGAACAGTATGCCATTCTGGGAGACATGCACAGGCAATGTCTCCCGGAATGACACATGCAGACCAACAAGAGTGCACAATGCACTCTTGTCGGTCAAAGTTCCGCATTCAAGTTATGAATGCGGAACAGTATGCCATTCTGGGAGACATGCACAGGCAATGTCTCCCGGAATGACACATGCAGACCAACAAGAGTGCACAATGCACTCTTGTCGGTCAAAGTTTTGCAATCGTATTCTGATTGCAATAAATTGTCTCATTCTGGGAGACATGCACAGGCAATGTCTCCCGGAATGACACATGCAGACCAACAAGAGTGCACAATGCACTCTTGTCGGTCAAAGTTCCGCATTCAAGTTATGAATGCAAAGTATTGCCATTCTGGGAGACATGCACAGGCAATGTCTCCCGGAATGACACATGCAGACCAACAAGAGTGCACAATGCACTCTTGTCGGTCAAAGTTCCGCATTCAAGTTATGAATGCGGAACAGTATGCCATTCTGGGAGACATGCACAGGCAATGTCTCCCGGAATGACACATGCAGACCAACAAGAGTGCACAATGCACTCTTGTCGGTCAAAGTTCCGCATTCAAGTTTTGAATGCGGAACAGTATGCCATTCTGGGAGACATGCACAGGCAATGTCTCCCGAAATGACACATGCAGACCAACAAGAGTGCACAATGCACCCTTGTCGGTCAAAGTTTTGCAATCGTATTCTGATTGCAATAAATTGTCCCATTCTGGGAGACATGCACAGGCAATGTCTCCCGGAATGACACATGCAGACCAACAAGAGTGCACAATGCACTCTTGTCGGTCAAAGTTTTGCAATCGTATTCTGATTGCAATAAATTGTCTCATTCTGGGAGACATGCACAGGCAATGTCTCCCGGAATGACACATGCAGACCAACAAGAGTGCACAATGCACTCTTGTCGGTCAAAGTTCCGCATTCAAGTTATGAATGCGGAACAGTATGCCATTCTGGGAGACATGCACAGGCAATGTCTCCCGAAATGACACATGCAGACCAACAAGAGTGAACAATCCGCTTTCTCCTTTGAAATCCAACATTCTAATCACATCTACATTAATAAATTGTTATAAAATACTAATCAAAGATCCAATACAATTCTACTATCTTATACACACATTACCAATGTTAACACATCTTATAACTTAAATTATTTCATAAAATTTGTTTTTATATCTTATTATTTTCTCATAATGCTTCTAATACATCTCTAATTTCTTACATTCAAACACCAATATCGTCATACTATCATAAGCACTTAATTTTTTCAAATTTTTAGACTTAAATTTGAGCTACATTTTCATCATCATTTTTAGCCTTAAGCTTCTATAAGGTTATAATACATTATCGTAATATTCTAATATTTATGATTCTTACTACTCAATTCAATATAATCATATAAGTCACTCATAATCAGGAGCATAATTTAAAAATCTATAGCTCATATTTTGACAATTATATATATAGATGATGCATATTGCAATTCCGGTTTCAACACGATCAAATGCCAAACCATGATAAAATATATATCAATTTACAAAATATCGATTAACATTAGAATCCATATCTAATTCCATCAATGCACAAGTTGTAAATGCTTAATTCATCTTTGAGAAACGTGAATAGCACAATTTTATAAGATTATTTGTTGAATATTTAAAATATAAGCCAAATCGAATCTGCTGTATATTACTTTAGTTTATAATTGAATGTTAAATGTGCTCAGATAAATATTTGAGTCAGATATCGCATTTTCAAATTTCAAATTTTATCTCATGAAGTTAGAATTCATTTGATCATACAACATCATATTAGTCAAACTAGAGTTCAATCGCGATTCCAAAATGGAACAATTGCTTGTTTTATCAAAATGTTAAAATATTAATCTAAAAAACTTAATATCTAACCAAAACATTCCAGAAATATCATATACAGGTATATGCAATCTAAATGCACACGAAATACTGAAAATTAAAAAGAATATTTATGAGATTATTAAATCTTATGCATTTCAATGAAGAGTCGATAATTATCATCTCTATAGGTTATATATCAACAAATGAGTTTTTGGATTGACCACTACTATACTAATGTGATCAAATTAATCCGATTTCTTGAATTTTCATTTGAAGCATTCGCAGTAGTAGGGGTACCTTTATATATTAACATATTAAAAAATTGCGCCCAGATTCGCAGTTTAATCATGATTTTAAGATTGCATTAGATTTCGAAATGCAGAAAAAAATCACTTTAGATTCCCTTCAAACTCTAAGCATAAGCATGTCTCTATATGAGGAAACTATTTGAGCTATTCATTTGGCGGCCCAAAAACTCATGTTGCCTGAGCGCAGAAAATACCAATTTTTGGACCCTGGGTAGGGTCATGCATGTTTTCTAAATGTTGGAAAAGTAGGGTATAATAGTATAATCATCTGGATGAAAATCCAATATGTCTCGACTTGTCTATTGTTATTGTGTCATTTCATATCTATGAACTTAATTAATGTTCATAAATTAATTCCGATATCTTTGTGAAGATTGATTTCCACATGTCTAACATAATATTTGTATCTTCTAATGAGTTTAAAAGATATTTATATGCCGATTTGCAAATGTGTTCTCTTAAAAAATTATTGATGTCCGAACAAGACATTCATCCAAATAAATTCAGCGAACTGCGAAGTTAATGTAAAAATCACATTGATACATATATTGCATTGTATCAGCTGAAAACGGACAAAGAAGAAGAATTAAAAGAAATTTACAAAAAGATCAAAACAGAATTGATTGATTCAAAGAAATTCTCACCAACAAGGATTATGGATGATATTTTAAATATAATTCCGTATAATAATCGCTATGCAAAATCATATTTATTTCTTGCCAAACTAATATTTGATGATTACCATCAGGAAGGGGCTCCCGATCATGAACCTGTTTCAAACTTCCTGTTTTATAAAGAATATGGATATAAATTAGACAATTCTATTACTTACGGAAGACTTGACTCAGAAAATTTAGACATTCATACAGAAAATACGATTTACAGAGCAATTATGTATAATGACTTAGATAGATTCATATCATTCACAGAGATAGAAGATTTTGATAAAGATCAAACACTTAACAGTAGTTTATATCCAGATTCTTACGAAGGATATTCATTACTTGAATTATGTTGTTACCATGGAGCAGTTGATTGTTTCAAATTCTTAAGAACGAAATTCAGCTCAGAAATAACAGAAACATGTCTGGAATTTTCATTTTTAGGTGGAAATCAAGAAATCATGAGTGAATGTTTGAAATATCAAACACCAAATGAAAAATGCATGGAATATGCAATTATTTCACACAACATTGATTTTGTTACATTCTTGATGAATGAATATAATTTAGAGATTGATTTAGATTATTGTACCCAGTATAATAATCTAGAATCATTTTTAGTATATTTCGATCAAACTAATGATATTGACGAATGCTATAATATTTCGATGATATTTAATATTCCTTATCTTTGTGAATATTCCCTATCAAATGGTGCAAATATCAATGAAAAAACCGCTCTTCATGATGCAGCACTTAATAATTGTAAAGAAATAGCCGAACTTCTTATTTCACATGGTATAAATATCAATGAAAAAGATGATGATGGAAAAACCGCTCTACATATTGCAGCAGAATCTAATAGTAAAGAAACGGCCGAACTTCTTATTTCACATGGTATCAATATCAATGAAAAAGATAATGATGGAAAAACCGCTTTTTATATTGCAGCACTTTGTAACTATCCAGGAATAGCCGAACTTCTTATTTCCCACGGTGCAAATATCAATGAAAAAGATAATGATAGAAAAACTGCTCTTCATCATGCAGCAGAATCTAATAGTAAAGAAATGGCCGAACTTCTTATTTCACATGGTATCAATATCAATGAAAAAGATAATAATGGATAAAGTGCTCTTGATATTGCAGCAAGTAATATTAAATCTCTTATTTCGTATAGTGTAAATATTAATATTAATAAACAAAATAATGATTGAAAAACTATTCTTTCATCTGAAGATTAATTTCATTAGAAATAAAAAAATCATTTCATTGGCAATAAAAAAATTACAAAATAATATGAAGATATATCATATTGTGAATCATATATTGTCTTTATATTTCTACATCAAATGGATTGGTATGAATCTTAAAAAATTTTCGAGATTTTTGTAAGCGATTCTTCTGAATATGTTTGATAGAATTACTTTCTATTCTTGTATTGTCCGAGTATTTCGTTAATATTGACACTTCCATGAATCGAAGATAATAATCTTTGATCAATAAAATCTTCAGGATTAGTTTCGCATTTAATTGTTTACCAAACTTCCTTAAATGTTGATTCGCAGACTCTATAATGGCTGCAAGAGGAAGTGCATTAAATTTTGTAGCATGTTTCCAGAAGAAAAATGTAAATAATCCTTGTGCTTTTCCTTTATCGTTCGTATGGATAGATAATTTAAATATGGTGCGAGTAATATATTAAAACTTGTCAGAAATAACCTCTAAGGTGGATTATGCATATGAATTATTTTATAATTTAGTTTTAAATGAAAATTTGCAACAGTAATCGAGTCGTTTACTAAATAAAACGTTTCTTTTAGTACCTGTACATTTGGTGATTAATATCAAAGTTAAGGGTACCGGAAAGTGAGGTGACGCGATTTCGAGTATCGCTCATAACTTCATTTGTAGTAAAGATATTAATGATATTGAAACATATATTAGTAGTGTATATACTAAGGTTTTTATTTCTATGATATTGAGGTCTTGGATACTTCCAGTTTGAAGAAAACTGTTTCGCAATTTTCGAACTTGCGGGCCTATCTAGTCCCTGGTTATTCCATGGCAGGGGCTGATACTGCAGAAATGATATCTAGGTACAAGATACTAGATATTTTATAGAAAACATTTGGCACTTGTTAAAAAGTGTCGAGATGCAATTAGTGGGTAACTTCAAAACTAAGACCGATTGCACTACAATCTCACTGGATTCTGATAATTACCATTAGGGAACAAACCCAATGGTAGTGGTTTCCAGTCGAAATTGTCTCATTCAAAGTTTAATTAGATATGTATCTAGTCCTCCAATATTGTGTTTAAGTCAGTGAGATACATTAAACACAAAATTTCAATGGTTATACTAAAAGTTTTACAGAACAAAGTTTATTTTCAATTCTCATATGTTGAGATAAATGCACTTTTTCCCCTCCAGATTTTAAAAATTTTGTATGATTTTTTTATGTTTTCGATAGCCTTATAATCATAAACATCGTTTTCACTTAGTTTGAATATGATACTATGATACATCATCACTTAAGGTTTATACTCATATAAACAAAACAAAATAAAAATGATTTTATGAGTTTGAAAAGTGTTGTTTTTATAAAAGCTTTCACTTCACTTTCCGGCACCCTTAATTTCGAAGAATGTAAGAGATTCTATACGAAGTACTGAAAGAAACCGCAAAAAATATTTTCAAATTTTCATAGATGTTCCTAGAGCTTTTCTGCTTAATTCTGAAAGCTCGATTTGTGATAGTAGAAGCAGAAATGGAAAGTCTTGAGTGGTTAGGATTGCTATTTTCATCTATTGCCTTCGTAACGTATATTATTATTTTATTTATTACATTAAAGCTTTGTTTCTTTAGTCAACCAAAAGTAGAAGCAGTGTAACGTTAAAAATTTATCAATTGATGTTAATTGACGACAAAATTTGATTCCATTCGAAAATTTTGTCATTAAATTCAAATGAATCTATAGCAATATGTCCACATGGTTAAGAAAAATCATTTTCACTCTTCCAAAATAGGAAATTTTATTCCATCTAATTTAAATTATTAATTGATGCAAAATCCTGTGACCTCACACTATACAACTAATATCGCATTGTAATTTGTCGCAATTTCGATTAGTATTCCCATGTAATACGAAATATTTTTATCATCTGAATATGCGAAATATTCTCATTGTGATGAGATCTGCAACTACTCATCAAATTCGCATAAAATCAATGTATGAGAGTAAACAACATGTAAATACCAATTACTTCCGATACTTTTCGATACAATTATTTAGATTTGTATCTAGTCTTTATATGATGATAATAATGTTTCAAAAACAAAGTTACTGTTAATATCCCCATGAAGTTTTAAATATGAAACAAATATTTCATCTAATATAGAAGTAAACATTTATTCTTTATAAGAATTTAACAAATTTCAAATACAAACGTAATTAACAGGGAAGTCTATTTTATCATATCAAGTATTGAGTTAAGAGATTGGAGTAATTGTGCTAATTTGTTCTTTCGTTGTTCCCATTCTTTATAATCATAATAGTGATCATCTTTCGTGCTGTATTGAGATGTATTGCCATCTGACTCAATTATATCAAGATATTTTTGTGCATCTTCAATAATTTTTGTATAATCGTTAAATATATTAATTACATTATCATGTTCATCAAGAGTTGAAACGCATTTATCATAAATTTCTTTTTTCTCGTCCAATACTTTTACTTTTGCAGATAATTCTTCGCTTTCTTTCTTAAGTTTATTAAATTTTGCTACTAATTCATCTATTTCTATGTCAATGTTCCTACCAAGTTGATTAACTTGCTGAGCAGGACTGAGTTTGGGATGTGAAACACCCAAAGACATTTTTGAACGATAGACTATTTTTTTGGACACAAATAAAAATGAACAAAACTAGCATGAAATCGAGAGTGATTGTATGATAATTATATTTTGAGAAAATTTTCATCACTTGACTCCTGATTTAGGAATGAATGGAAGAAATGGACAATAATTCGACCCTCAATCAATATAATTTTTTATTCAATCCATATTTTCTAAGGAATCGCTTTGAATCATAACTTTTACAAATGGCAATGAATTTCAAGTTCAGACAAGCATTTGGGTAATTCTGAAATCAACATAGTTATTTAATCGACCTCAAAATTCATAAAGAATCATAAGTCAGGCTTAAACTGAAAGTAATTCGTTAACGTATCATTGATTCCCTTGGAATTTCGAACTTTAAAAAATAAATAATAAAATATTAAGCATTTAAGTCCCTAATTATCAATTTTTATCCAAGTGGTAATAAACGTCATTAATAAGTATAAAAATTTGGTTAATTTATTCTTCCTTCTGGCCACGACGTGGGTTAGAGCGGCAGCCAGCTGGTCTTGGCTTGACGGCCTTATCCATCTTTCCCTTTCTGCCACGGCGGGACTTCTTCTTTGGTTCATCGTCGTCATCATCGAATCCCTCTTCATCATCCTCATCACCATCCTCATCGGCATCAGCGTCCTCATCGGCGTCATCGTCTTCATCGTCTGAGCCAAGCTTTGAGGTAGCACGCTTCATCTCTTGCTCCTTGAAGATCTTTGTGTTGTCTCTTGTCTTAACGAGGAGTCTATCTGTGCCCTCAAGCTCCTTGACGTCCTTGCGGTCCTCATCGGATCTAACAGTATATTTGGTGCCTTCGATAGCGATGATTGTGACTTCTGAGAGGTCATGGCCGTTCTCATCCTTAAGATAGATACGATCGCGGACCTTGAATTCGTGATCAGCAACAACTTCAAACTTTGGTGTGCTTGCCATATGAAATTGGATAACGGTTTAGCTCAAAAATTGTGATTGATACGATAATTTGGCGCCAAAATAATATTACATGAGCATGTAAGTTAACGGATTATTATTTCAATTAGCAAAGCATGTCCTGATATTAATATCTTTATTTTGCCATAAAAACTCGGGGTTTGATTGAGAAAAATTAAAATGTGATTGGTTATTAGTCAAATACATCGAATATTTGAATTCTAACAAATGAGCTAATAGAACTTTTACAGTCATGGTTTCCACTCAACTAGATTCCTGGTAACGATTTCTGATGCTCTATCAAAACTAGTTAATACTTAAGGAGTCTATTGTTACTTGAGACACTGCTACCAATCAATCTATTATCTTTCATATTGACGGAGAAAATAGTAAGATGTGTATAATCAAGCGTAAAACATCAAATGTGAATGTATTAAATGTATTCTGAACGAAATATTGCATATCGTAAATTATATATTTGAATCAGATTAAACCAAAACTAATTAAAAAAAGATTTCATCAATATAATTCTAAAATCTAAGAAAAGACTTATATGAAATATTTTCTGCAATAAATAAGGACCTAATTCACTTAAAACAATGAAAATAAGTTTCCATATTATTTTAAAGGAAGTAAAAATATTATTATTTATTTGATTATAGATCATCCAAATTGATGAATTCTGGATTCTCATTAAATCTTATCAGATTCAATAGAATCACAAGTATAAATATTCCCATCAATAATGGGACCGATGTATGCTCATTTTGAAGCGGGCTCATTCTCATATTCAATAATATGTTAGGCTATCGAATATACATTCTGCATTGCTAAGTGCAATCCTTTCAAAAAAAAAATCTACTCATGACAAATCAAAAAGATCCTATTGAGGTCTAACAATGAAGAGCTTGGCAATATCTTCCCCTAGTACAACACAGCAATAGTATTATTGTTTGTCTCATTCGAAATTAGTATAGAACAAGAATAGGGAAAGATGCGTGCCTAAAAAGGCGTAATTGAAGCTGCATTTGTGGTAAATCGTAATCACACTTGAAAGTAAATGTAAAGAAATGATATGATTTGAAGTTAAAAGTTAAAAATCATATAATATTATTATGTTCATCTTATGAAGCTCCAATTTTTATGCATATTTTGTAAAGTGAAGAAAATTGAATTCATGAAGAGCAAATAAACATTGGATCCAAAAATGAATGATAGGAAAATGAATTAAAAAAAAATGAAATTGGGTCAAAGTTTGAATTACCATCAGCAAACTGAAATGAAAAGTAATATAAACCCTTCCCCATATACCATGATTAAATTATTATTGATTAAATTTTCGTGGAGTTATTGAGAAAAATGGGTTCTGTTACCATAAGTTCGGGAGAGCTGTAGTTGATATGCATCTGGTGATGGGGATTTTTGTGGGTTCCTTGGGTTGAATTTTTGCTGGGCAAGAAAGAACTATACCTGTAAATTTCCCAGCTTGTTGAATCTTTCTCATCATTCTTAAGTCATTAATCTTACAAATTTCTTCACGAAATTCATTATCTGCAGCAGATTTTGCAATTAATGCTGATCTGCCACCGGCATTATTCATTTTTGCAACACTAACAATGTTTTGTATCTCTGATTTGTTGGGCTGCATGCTATTGGATGGATCAAAGAAATAAATATAGTCTTCGTTTCTAATTCCATACAAAGAGAGAGTTGAATTCTTATCGAGTAAGATCCCATTAAAAATGTATTGCGGTATGAATGCCTCATTTTTGAAGATATAATCAAAGATTGAAATGGTTGAAGTCTTTGTAACAACTATTGTCCTGATTTGCATGTTCATATTGCACAAGTATAATACAATCTTTAAAGATGTATCATACTGTGCCATCTTGTCTATTGAGACAAACATGCTTTCTTAAATAAAGTGAATTGAAGAAACATTGACTTGAAGATTTTCATAAAATTCTATTCAATTTTGTTTGATAAAATATTAAATGTTATAATGAATGCTGACTAGTTGAAATCTTACATTATGAGTGACGTATATAGAATGTTATGTAATAAACAGAAATTCATCAAAAGTGACAGCTCTCAATTTTTTGACATTTGTAAATTCTAAATTGAATGAGAAAAATGAAATAATACTAAGCATAATACAATATTCTAGATTTAATTATAATTAGGAAAAAGTGAGTTTTGTGAGTACTTTTCATAGGCATATAGAATGAAATCTTCTGAAAAATAATATCACATAAACTCATATTATTTTCTAATATATAACTATTTTATATAAAAATCAAATTCAATGATCTTAAAAGCGAAGGATAAACCCCAAAAATTACGAATATAATGAGTGGGAATATAATGCTTATCTATCATAAAAACATATGAAATATCAATTTTTGCTTTACGCCTAATTTTTGACGACAATTAGCAAAAAATGTTAAATGTTAACACTCAGTCCATTTGAATATGAAAAATAAAATTGACTTTGATTAAATGTTTTTATTTATCATGCAATTCTTCTTGCGACCAAAGATTTGAATAAAAGTTCAAAAAATAAGATAGCTTAAAAAATAATATACGGTAGTGTTTACTAATAGATGAATAGTATATAAATTCTATTAAAATGGATTTGATCCAAAAAAATATAAAACCAAAAATAATTGTTATAATTTAAATGAAGAAGTAATTTAAAACGATTTTATTTATGATCAAATTTTATATATTTTTTTGGATCAAATCCATTTTAATAGAATTTATATACTATTCATCTATTAGTAAACACTACCGTATATTATTTTTTAAGCTATCTTTTTTTGAACTTTTATTCAAATCTTTGGTCGCAAGAAGAATTGCATGATAAATAAAAACATTTAATCAAAGTCAATTTTATTTTTCATATTCAAATGGACTGAGTGTTAACATTTAACATTTTTTGCTAATTGTCGTCAAAAATTAGGCGTAAAGCAAAAATTGATATTTCATATGTTTTTATGATAGATAAGCATTATATTCCCACTCATTATATTCGTAATTTTTGGGGTTTATCCTTCGCTTTTAAGATCATTGAATTTGATTTTTATATAAAATAGTTATATATTAGAAAATAATATGAGTTTATGTGATATTATTTTTCAGAAGATTTTGTGTTCTTCTTCAAAATTTTATTTTTTATTAAAAAGAATCTTTACAAAATATACATTTACTTTAATTAATATTTAAAAACGTGCTCTATCAAAAGTTCCAAAAATTCAATATTTTAGCTTTTCTGAGGTGTCACTTTTGATGAATTTCTGTTTACAACAGTTATTAAGAAATCCGGCTCTGAGGACTGTAAGCGAGGCCCTGGTCTCGGCTAAGGCCAGAACATGTGATTCTATGTCTTTCAGGGCTGAATTTTGATGAGAACATCCATCACATGGACATTCCTCTCAAAATTCGGCCCTGAGGATTGCATTTCAGGTGTTGGCCTTTACCAAAGCCATATCTTCGTATTTAATGCTTTTCAGGGCCGAGTTTCCGCTGAGAAGTGTCTGCGATCTGGACAATCTCAGGGAACTCGGCTCTGAAGGATATTAGCGAAGCTCTGGTCTCGGTTGGAGCCAGAGCCTGTAATTTGATGTCTTTCAGGGCCGAGTTCTTGCGAAACCGTCTATCATTAGGACGATCATCGCAAAACTCGGTCCTGAGGATTGATCTTGCATGCTCTGGCTTCAGGAAAGGACAGAGCTTCGTAGTGACGTTCTCTCGGGACTGGATTCCTCTCCGGCCGCCCCGAATCAGGGCGGTCTTTGAGAAAACCGGCCCCGAGGAATGTTTGCGAAGCTCTGGCCTTTCCTGAGGCCAGGGCTTGTGATTTTCGTTCAGAGCCAAGTTCCTCTGGGAACATTCCTAATGAGGACGACCGTCGAGGAACTTGGCTCTGAGGTGATGAATTGTGAGCACTGGCATTGATGAAGGCCAGAGTTTTTAAACGAATGTTTTGACTGGATGAGTCTATGATCAGTAAGCCCATCCCATCAAAACATTCGTTTAAAAATTGAATTAAAAATTATCGTAATCATTGAAATTTAAAAAAAATTAAATGAATAATATTATTATATAATAAGAATGGAATAAAATAAATACAAAATTGAATAAAAATTTCCAAAAAAAATTCGAAATTTTGAAAAATAAGACAAAAAATAACAAATTTGATAAGAAAATTAAGGATTAGAGAAATTTTAGAAAGATAAAGTATGATTATTTATATTTGAAAGTGAAAAATGAGTAGATTTAAAAAGTTTTAAATAAAATAGGGTATTTATAATTTATTAAAGTGCTATATATTCAAGAAAGGAGTTTACAAATGCAGGGTAAAGGAACAATACCCTGCATTTGTAAACTCCTTTCTTGAATTTAAATCTCGATGTGACATTCTATAGAAAAAGTGCTATATATTCAAGAAAGGAGTTTACAAATGCAGGGTAAAGGAACAATATCCTGCATTTGTAAACTCCTTTCTTAAATTTAAATTCAATGAATCTCATTCAAATGAAAAAGTGCGTTATTTTCCAGCTATGCATATACATGTGCAGTGTATCAGTGATATACACTGCATCTATAAGGGAAGAACTGGAAAAGCATATACTACGAATCAATTATTTTTTAAACAACAATTTTATTGTGTATAATGATGTTGTTCTATTGATTACATATACAATAATCAAAGATAAGCACTAAGACATTTCAAAAACACAACTTCAAAATTTGGTGAATATATTGCTGATAGAGATTATGTCGAATATCATTTAATTACATTGAATATGAGAGTTAACAAACTATAGTATCATGTGAAGTTACGTATCTTCTGTTATTTTGTATTTTAGGTTATAATCAAATGTGATTATAACCTTCAAAATAATAAAATTCCTCCAAATTCTCATAGATTATCGCATTATGCCTATATTTTAATGCTGTAATATCAGCATTGGTTATTAGCTCTGTTTTATATCCTCCAACATGCATTTGTTTAATTTGGAAAAAAATTGAGAGGACTAGTTTAAAATTTTTTCACTTTTGAATTTATACTCTAAAAATCAAGAACAAAAATACAATTTTAACTAAGGGTTTCGTTTTGCTAAAATTGTCACTTTTATAGCATATTTGTTTTTGGATGTTTTGCGAAACCAAAAAACGTACATATTTGTTTTTTTAGCGAAATTGCGTATTGTACGTTTTTTTCGCAAAACGAAACCCTTATTTTAACATCAAAAAATGAAAAATGGAAAAATTTTGAGTGGGGGACAAACTCGCCCATTGTCACTTTTTCATTAACCTTAAACTTGTAATTTTCATTATTTTTAATTAACCTTATTTCTTTCCCAATTCCTGATTTATTTTATTCACTTACTATTAAAAGTCACATTTTAATAAAATATAATAATTTATTTATAGCATTTTTTACTATACTGTAATAAAAAATTAATTATAATAAATTAAATGTTTATTAAATCAAATGTTTTCTTTGCAATAATATTTTTAATGTTGAGTAAACAATGTTGGGATCAAGTGTATCATTTTTCAGACCTTTCTGAACAGCTTCAAGCATACTGATGCATTCGACTTTTTTAAATTGTGTCATTTCTTCGAAATCTCTTGTGACTTTTTGATAACTTTAACACTTCTCTCTGAATCCAGACCTTTAATTTGCAACTTAATCAGGAATGAAGGAACAACACTGGAATATAATCGATGACAAGTTCATCGAGTCGAAGATTTGTTGTACACCACTTGTATGTGCCGGATACCATTGTGTCAAATTTTTCTGAAATTAACTTTAAAAGTACTAAGTAAGATCATGAGATATAGCAATATATGTTTAAACCAACTTATATTTTGGTTGTACACCACTTGTATGTGCCGGATACCATTGTGTCAAATTTTTTCTGAAATTAACTTTAAAAGTACTAAGTAAGATCATGAGATATAGCAATATATGTTTAAACTAACTTATATTTTGGTTGTACACCACTTGTATGTGCCGGATACCATTGTGTCAAATTTTTTCTAAATTAACTTTAAAAGTACTAAGTAAGATCATGAGATATAGCAATATATGTTTAAACTAACTTATATTTTGGTTGTACACCACTTGTATGTGCCGGATACCATTGTGTCAAATTTTTTCTGAAATTAACTTTAAAAAGTACTAAGTAAGATCATGAGATATAGCAATATATGTTTAAACTAACTTATATTTTGGTTGTACACCACTTGTATGTGCCGGATACCATTGTGTCAAATTTTTTCTGAAATTAACTTTAAAAGTACTAAGTAAGATCATTTATTTTTGCATAATATAATGCCAATATGGTTTCTTTTGATTTTATTTCATTTATAAGCAAATCAGATTTACCCAAAAACTCCACTCCATAAGCGTTCATTTGCTAAATTAAAAAGTGACAATGGGCTAGTCTGTCCCTTTCTCGTTTTTTTAGCGAAATTGCGTATTGTACGTTTTTTTCGCAAAACGAAACCCTTATTTTAACATCAAAAAATGAAAAATGGAAAAATTTTGGAATTATAATGATGTTTTATAATTGATTTAAATGAGAACTTTTGCATTCTGGTATCAAAACCAAGAGCAAATTTTCAATTATATAGTAGTAGGATATGAAGGGTTTTGTGACTTTTTTGTAAACGTAAGAATTCATACAATATCGAGCGATTTTAGTAGGATATGAAGGGTTGTGTGACTTTTTGTTACATCTATATATATATAGACGATGCATTAAAATATATTTAAAAAGGAAGACTGTGAATTATTAAACGCTAATGAATATGAAACCAATAAATCAAAATTGAAATATAAATATATTGGAAGAGATGAAAGATGCAAAGATAAAGATAAAGTTTATACAGTTTCATATAATGAATGGAAAACCAATAAGATAAGAAAACATTTAGGAGATTATGGGAAATGTTCTGAATTCTTTAAATCTAGTATGTACGAGAGAGTAAAAGAAATTAGAAATAATTATTTTCATGAATAAAAAATAAATTATTTTAAAATTAATGTCTTACATTTTTTAATGATTTATTTTTTATTTTGTATGAAATGAGTGTCAAGACTAACGACGTTAAAAAATTAGGATTCACAAACGAGGAAATAAAGGATATATTAGAGGAGGTAGGTTATGAAGTTGATAAATATTATTTAAGAAATTGTAAAAAATTCGCGGAGTTATTAAATGATTTAGATTATGATGGAAAAATGAATAAAGATGATGTTATAAATTTCTTATATCCCACATCTGAAGAAGAAAAACCTAAAGAACCTGATGTTTTCCCTGAATATTATGAAGAACGGATTAAAGATGATGATGAATACAATGAAATTGAAAGACTGAAAAAAATAAGAGATGAAATAGATGAAAAAATTAAGGAATTAAGAGAAGTTGAAAAATATAATGAAAATGAAGTAGAGGGTTTAATGAATATCCCAGCTTCAGAATCAGAAGTACAGAAATCTCATGAAGAAAGATATAAAAATTATGTCTCAGAATCAACACAAAATTTATTAGATGGTGAAATAGACGAAACACTTTCAGAAGAAGGTACTAAATTTATTCGTAAACATAAGTTACAATTTATTGATAATGAAGAATACCCCTGTATCCTACTTTCACCACCTTTAGATTCCGAAAAATTCAAAAAAGCTCTTAAAAACGTGACATATGCAACTAATACGATTAAGAAAGAAGATCATGATATTTACACAAATTATTATTTAAATAAATGCACGGGTGTTGATAAAGTTTTTGATTTATTAGATAAAATATCAAAAGAAACCATTGGAACCTATAAAATTTTGTGTGATTGTGGTTTCATTATTGAAGATACCAATAATGTTTCATATGAAAGAACAGCACCGAAGGAAGACGAAGTGGAAAGGTCTATACCATTCGTTATTAAGAATATAAAAGATATGAAAACGTATAAGCATTATATTTATTCATTTATTTCAGAAAAAATGGAAGCAACCCATAAAACATCTTCTCATCATTTTATAGCTATTCATACATTCCTTTTCAAAGTTGTGAAATTAAATAAGACAGGAATTAGATTTAATGTATCAGGGTACGCATTCTTGAGTAAATTAAAATGTATTCGTCACGTCGCAGATGATAAAAATTTATGTGTTCTTAATTCATTTTATGGGCTTTAAAAAATAAACTTTATTTTTATTTATTTTTTAATTTTTTATTCTTACATAAATGAACAAAAACGGAACAGCTAAAATGAATGATAATCAAATTAGAGCAGAAGGTAGAAGGTTATTTAAACGCTTCTATAACATTCCTGATGGTGCTAATCCTAAAACTCGTAGAAGCTATTTAAATGAAGCAATAGATGCATATGAAGGGTTTGACATTTCATCAGAAAGTGAGAGATTAGCGAGAATGTTAAATGTTAATATTGATTTCTATTATTGTGATCCTCAACCAGAAGACGTGGACATAAATAAGGTAGACTTTCCATTAGTGGAATCAATAATGATAGATCCAGAATTTGAAACAGTAAATATTTTATTAACACAGAGTCCATGTGGAAAACTTCACGCTGACAGAATAACAGACGTTGAAGCACTCACCGGCTATAAAGTTTGTCCATATTGTAAAGAAGAAGTTTATTCTATCCGTGATGATCCAGAAAGGAAAAACCAAAGAAGATTTTTAAAGCATTGTGAGAAATGTAAAGAAAATAATGGAAGATTAATTCAAGACGTTCAGTTGCAAAAGACACAGCAACCATATGCACCACATATTACGAAACAGAAGATATATCAGTGGTTATTAGCTCACAATTTGCAGAAATATTATAAACCGACAAGATATTATATTACTTTTGACTTCGAAACATTAGAGACTAAAGAAGAATTACAACTTTCTGAGTGTGCAACTTTGAATGCTTACTTAAAACCATTCATGGTATCATCAACGGTTAAATTAAACGATAAAACATATACGAGGAATTTTTGCTTAACTTCGAGTGATTCTTTTATTTCTGATTGGATTGAGTTTTTATTTTCAACCTGTTCATTAGTTGCTAAATCAAATATTGAACAATACAATGAATTAATGAAGTCGCAAACGGTGGGGACTTTGTCTCATACATTAAATGAAAAACAGAAGGAAGCATTTAAAGAACTTCTAGATGAGGAATTCAATAAAGTGAATATCATAGGTTTTAATTCGGGAAAGTTTGATTTAAATTTAATTCTTCGTGATTTAAACACTGCAAAATGGAAAATAAAATCAATGCTGGGTTCATCTTCACAATTTAAGCAAATCATTGTAAAGAAAACAAACGTTCCATATGAATTGAGATTTATTGACATCAGAAATTATATAGCGGGTGGGACATTAGACCAATTCACTCAAGATTTCGGAAACAATAAATCACGTGTTAAATCCTTTTTCCCTTATCAATTCATCACATGGGAGAATTACGAAGAAGAATTATATAAAGAGGAACCATTCACGAAAGATTCATTTTATTCAGCATTAACCCAAGAAACTATATCAGATAGTGATTATCAAATATATCTCAATGATGCTAAAAATTTTAAGCATAGATTAGAATATTTTATTCATTATTGCAATAAAGATGTTGAAATTATGATTGACCCAATCGATAAAATTATTGAAGAAACATTTGTTTATAAAATTGATATGCTTCATAATCTTTCTTTATCATCGAATGCTTCAATGATTCGTTACGCTTTAGCATATAAAGACTTTAATCCTAATGAAAAATATCCTGAGGAAGAGATAGAATTAAGTTTTGAATTAACGAAAAAGTATTGGAAATATAAAATTGAATCATATAAGAAACAAGATGAAAAAGCAGAAAGGGATACTAAAAATAATATTTCAATGGATGATTTTCAATACTATCACGATTTAATCCTTTCATCTAAATGCAAAATGTGTGGTAAAGCGTTTACATATGCAAATAAACCAACATTAGATAGAATAGATAATGAAAAACCACATACTAAAGAAAATTGTCAGTTAATGTGTTGTTATTGCAATGTCGTAAAATCAAATAAAGATGAAGACATTCAACGTTTAAGAATCAATTTAAGAAATCACGCATTAAAAAATAATTTACCAATGACTTTAGATTCAGTTGAAGCTTATCACATTCTCCGTAATGGAATTACTGGTGGTCTATCAAATGTTCAACATCGTGTTAATCTTAAAGGAATCACGCACATTAATAAACTTTCATATAGTCCAGAAACTAAAACTGTATCAAATGAGGACACTTCCAACATCATGACTCATTTCGTTGGTGTCGATTTTAATTCATTATATCCTTCATCATTTTCATCTAATCCTCATGATTTCATTCAATATACTGACCATAAAATGTATATGCCGGGAAGATTGAATGGTGTTATCATTTGTGATACAGCAACAAAGAAAGCAAAAGCACTGGGAATAATTAAGAAGAAAAATACTTTATTCGTGGCTGAAGTAAAGGGTCACATTGATGAAAAATACATTAATGATTACATAAACTTTTTACCGATAATAAGAAACTTAGATATTATCACAGATGAAAAAACAATTGGCAGTTTTATGTATAATTACATGAAATCAAACAATCTACCGGTTGACCAGAAACAGAGGAAATTAACTCAGTTAGCATCAACACACAACCAATATCAACCATTTTCTTCTTATTATCTTTGGTATCTAATAGACAGATTTCATTTTATCATTGATGACATTCAATCAATTTTAACATTTACTAAAAACACTTGTTTTAATGAATTTGCGAACGAATTTATGAACGAAAGACAAAAGGCTGAATTAGAAGGAAATAAAGGAAAAAGTTTATTTTGCAAGATTTCGCTTAATGGATCATATGGTTACGATGCAATGAATACACAAAATTACGCAAAGACTAAAATAATGAATGCACAGAAGGCACGCGTTGCATGTATGTCAAATAAGTTTAAAAACATAAGAGAAATAGGAGAGGATACGTATCAAGTGATGCTCAAAGATAGATTTTATAGATGTGATACATGTTTACAAGAGGCATTCTTCACTTTAGATAATGCTAAATACTGGTATTTGGTTTTCATTTATGATTTTATGTATAAATGCATGAATGTTAATCGTTTTCATTTCATTGAAGGTGATACTGATTCATCTTATTGGGCAATCGCTGGCGACCCAAATCTTCCTAACACTCAAGCATTTCAAGCAATTGTTACCGATAAACAATTTTATGAAAAACATTTTCAAATTCGCACCATTTGATTTCTTCTGTTTTGATGTGAAATTTAAACCTAAATTAAAGAATAAAGCTGAAGAAAAAGCACATGAGAAGAAGTTATTGGGTTTAGCAATTGAGAAACAAGGTGATAACATGGTTGCTTTATGCCCTAAGTGTTATACATCATTCAACGGTTCAATTGATGGAAGTGATTTTAAAAAGATTGCACAAAAAATGAAAGGTGTTAGTTTACGACAAAATAAACAATTAACACCTAAAATTATTTGGATATAATAAATGATAAAGTGATATTTTGATGGTCAGAATATTAATTTACAACTTAAAAACGGGTCAATGACTCGCTTAACAATCGGTAAGACTGCATTAACAGGAGCACACACTAAGGCTGTATGTTGTGAAAATGGATGTTGTATGCCATTTATTTAATACAATTTAAAATTTTATTTTTAATAAAATACCACAGAAGAGACAAAAGGAACCGTTAATGATGGTTTTGATACTATGATTCAAAGAGGCGGGCACCCTTAAAACACTTATTTTATTTTTATATAAATGAATAGCGCAGATTTAAAAAATTTAATTTATGATTTAGTACTTAATCAAAATTTTCTTACTTATTATGAATTAAAAGCATATCTCCAAAAACATAATAACACTATAACGGGTGATGATATGGATTATTATTATCCATATTATAAAAATGAAATTTTGAAATATCATGATAAAATAATTTCTAAAATTAAAGACAAAATTAAAAATAATGAATATACAAAGGAAAAAACTAAATCACAACTTAAACAATTGAAAGATTTCAAAAATAAAGTATTAACAGAAGAAGATATTGATGAATTATATAAATTATATAATCATGAGCTGCAAAAAACAAAGGAACAAAAACAAAAGGTGCAAAACGCCCAGGTCCTTCAGACCATAAATGAAGCACAAGCTTTAATTTATGATTCATTAGTTAAACCATATTCAGCCCGACTTTTAAATGAAGATCAACTTTTGGAATTCATCCTTCAACATAAACTCGAAGCGGGAAAGTATATCAAACCTTTATATACAGCATATTTAAAACAAATGAATAGAATACATCCAGAATTAATGAAGGGGGGAATGAAATCCAAAATCAAAGCAGATAAAATTAAACCACTTGCAACACCAAAACCTCCAACAACAGTACCTCCAACGACAGTACCTCCTCCTCCTTCAGTTAATCCTTCATCATTCACTTTATTATATCCATTTCAAACATTAAAGAAGCAAAAAGATTTTAAAAAGGATTTCAAGATATTAAATAAACCAATTGACCCGAAAATTCAACCGTTAAAGAAAAAATTTAGTCGCCCTTCATTTGCTCCATATCCATATTCATACGAAATCGATCATCTGGAATATTCAAAAGGAAACGTTACTTATTTATTCGCCATTAACATTAACACTAGATATTTATATTGCATTCCGGTGAAAGGGAAAACAGAACAGGAAACAAGAAGAGCTATACAATACTTACTAGATCATGAAAGAGTAGATAATATCAGGGGTGATGGTGATAAAGGATTTCAGGCAGCTATGGCTCATTATTTCCCACAAATTAATTTTTTCTTTTCGTCCTCTCCATATACGTTTCATAATAAAATAGTTGATGCGGTAATGAGAACTCTTAGAGATGCGTTAGGGGTTAACGGTCAGATATACTGGGATGGAAATCATGACTCCATCATACAACAGTTAGTATATTATTACAATAATACATGGCATAGAACTATAAACATGAAACCAGTGGAAATGAAAAATGATATTTCAAAAGAATGGGAATATATTAGAAAGCAAATGGAAAGGTTGAATGATGTTAAACGTGAACAAATTAATTCGGGGCTCATGAATTTTAAACAAGGGGATAAAGTTTTGATTCATCTCGATTATGGAAAAACTGATAAATCAATGACAAAAAGAAGACGAAGATTTGACACAATAGCTGAATTTGTTAGATATATTAACGGCAATGCATTAGTTGAAGTTGACAATAAATTAATAGAAATTCCGATTTATTTTATTACTCCATTATATTTAAATAATATTTAATTTTTTTATTTCGTAAGAAATGAGTGACAACAAAGCAGCCAAGAGTCCAGACAATGAATATAAAAAGAAACTAAACAGAATTAAATCAAAAATATGCTATTACAAAAAGAAGCCGCAATGCGGTGGGGCTGAAAACGATAAAGAGAGGAAAGAAATAATCGAAAAATTAGAAACTTACCGTTCAATCATTAAACTGAGTGAAGCAAAAATAAAAGAATTTAATAGAATAAATAAATTGATTGGAAGTGATGAATTTAATAAAGATGAATTTTTAAACTCAATCCAAATTTAATTTTTATTCCTCTTCCCGAACCCTTCTAGGTTCTTCTCGGTTTTCGTTCTTGCATCATTTTTATCATTTCCTCCCTTGTTATGATTCGTGGTAAATTTTGAGCTTGTGGGGTATCCATTTATATAAAATTTTGTTATCAGTTATTTTATCGTTAATGGTTTCAGGTTATTCAATAATTAATTATTTTTGAATAACTGAAGGTGTCACTACGTCACCATGTCACCAGGTTAATTAACTTCTCTGAAAAAATGAGACAACATGACATTTTGACATCACAGCAGGATTAAGGAGGAAGGCACTTATGAAGCATTTTTGAATAACTGAAGGTGTCACTACGTCACCATGTGTCACCAGGTTAATTAACTTCTCTGAAAAAATGAGACAACATGACATTTTGACATCACAGCAGGATTAATGCAAAAATAAATTCAAATCATACTTTATAAAGCTTCATTTACAGGTATTTCATCGTCAGTAAATGAATCCTCATTATCGTTTGGTTCAACCTGTTTATATAATCCTTTCATTTCTTCTTTCAAAACATAACACCATGTTTGTTTACCATCTATTCTTCTCTGTTTCCTTTCACATTTATCTTTAATGCTCATTTGAAAGTTTTTGTCTTTCATGTCTGATGGTTTGCAGAATAGAGCATTTTTACACGTCATACCTGCACACAATTCATCATAATGTGTATTTATCCATTCATCTAAAGGATTTGTTGATAATTCAATTAAATCTTGTTTGGCTTCAGTCATCGGTATGATTCGTACGTTAAATGATGAAAGGTCATATTGCATAAAATACGTCAGTAAATTATCATAAAATTCCTTTGTGCATGAATTCATCAAATTCTTGAAGTAATCAAATTGACCCTTAAATTTACCATTAACTCTTAAAACTACGTATCTTCTGTCTCCAACTTCAATTTTGACAGGGTAAACGTTATTAGTTACGAAAATGAAGTTTGCAACGTTCTGAGCAGTTCTTCTGGGTTGATTCTTTTCATTAATTCTTATCTCATTATCCGTTATAATTGATTTCAAAGCGTTGAAGTTTGCGAGTCTGTCTTCACCTACATTCTTGAGTTCATTAAGTACAAGAAACATTTTATTCTCAACTACTGAGTTGAAATTACCCGTTAGCTCACCTATTTCGGTAATGTTTTTACATGAATAACCAGCGAGAAGTTCAGAAATAATGTCTGTAAATCTGTTTTTACCTGTTCCCTGAAGTCCTTTCAAAATAATTGCTGTTTCATTCTTGATTCCAGGATATTGAATCATTGATGCAATCCAGCCAAGAATTATTTATACACTTCATCATTATTATCACAAATGGCTTCTTTAATGAAATTCATAAACATCTCAATTTTTGAGTAATCTGGTTTTTCAAGAATGTTGTATTTATAACCTTGAAACGTTGAGAAAACATCTGGGAATCAGATTTAAAGCAAACACCCTTAACGGTTAATGAGATAATTGATTAGTAGTACATCCCATGCTGTTATTGTTTTACCTTCTTCTTATAAATAATTTAATCATTTTAAGTGACTCTTTCATGTTTGATTGAAGAACGAATATATTTGATTCATTTTTCGTATTTATAGTCCTTTTGAAATGAAGTATTTGTTTCCACAATCTACAAAACGGATTACACGTGATAAATCCTCAATTACTTCAGAACTGTTTTTATACTGATGATTTCAGCCTTGCGTCTAATATCTGTTATCAAAAACGAGTCACCAAGTTTTATATCAAATGTTATTTTGGCTTACGTAATAAAGGTAAAACGTATTCATCATAATATTCTTTTTGATATAGCTTTAGAATCTTCACCAAAACAAATGGAGAAGTCATTAAATGTGCATATCTACTACGTGCTTTTTCAAATTACTTTTTGCATTTTCAGTTAAGCTGCAGAAGTTATAACGTTATCGTATGCTTCATAATTAAATGATTAGGTAACGAATTAATTGCTTGAAACAGTGTGAATAATGTAACTTCTTTTTCTAAATTCATGTTTCCACCGTCATTATGTACTTCAAAATCACTGATGCCATCAACTATGCTCTGGCAAGTTTATCGTCAATGTTTACATCTTTGTTTTCATTCATTAGTCCTTATTTCTTCGTTCTTCTGTTCAACTCTTACCTTAATATTCAAATCATTTAATATATCATTCACTTTATAGTTAATTGAATCGTAACTTCCACGAATGAATGAGTATGTATTGATTGTTCTGTTGCATTCTTGCGAACTCTTGAATCAGCCATAACCACTAAAGAACGCTTTGAATCATCCATAGAAGTCATGATATCGATATCATAATCATTGCAGGAATAGCATTTAATCATTCTGTTCGAAACTGCATAGAAAAATTAGTGTTGCAATAAATGTGAAACCTCCTGAAGCGGTTTTTAACGATAACATCTTTATCCGAAAGTTTTGATAAAATATCTTTTCTAACTGTTTCTTTAAGTTCATCATTGTATGATTTATTGATATCAACATCTATAATCGTTAAATTTGATATTTTATTTGCTAATAAAGCTGTACCAGTTTTCCTTCCTCTTCCTCCATCGTGTTTGAGGTAGTTATGTAAATCAATCTTGTTTTCACCAATTCTTTCGTTGAGGGTTTTAGTTTCTGCCACAACTAATTCCCTCAACTAAAACCCTTGTTCCCATTGGTCTAGTTTGTATGGAGAATCTCTATAACCATAACATATCTCACGTTCATGTTCTAATTGTTTTTCGCACATTTTTCTAACTTCTTCTTCAAACAAATGTTTAGCATTCTCTACTGTATCTTCGAGTTCTTCTTCATCTAATTTCTCATGAACTTTCTTGTCTATGGAGTCCATAATATCTTTGACATAAAATGCATACTTTACAGAGCACCATTCAGCAACAAAATGAACGAGGTCAGGATGTATGTAAATACCTTTGAATTCATTTATAACACCCTTAGTAAGCTCATAAAATGCTTGTTTTGAGGTCGAGCCACTTTTGGCTTGACCGTATTCGTTCATCCAAAACTCAAGAATTTCCTGCATTTTAGTACTATTGAGAAATCTGTTTAAATGGTTTAACCTTCCCGCTTCTCTTGCCATCTTTGTTGCATTAATGTAACCATCCTTGTCTCTACGTAAGACTTCAATACCATTATAAGTGCCTTTTGTGAATGTTTCGCCATTAGATTTGTTCTTGAATGTTTTTGCTTCGACTGACATTTCTGTTCTTACATACAAAATAAAAAAATAATTTTAAAACTAACTTTATTTTTGGACTGCATCATATTTCCAGGACTGTTGTCTAAATGTCATGTTGTCTCATTTTTTCAGAGAAGTTAAATAACCTGGTGACATGGTGACGTAGTGACACCTTCAGTTCTTCAAAAATAATTAATTATTGAATAACCTGAAACCATTAACGTAAACATTAACGATAAAATTTATTTCCAGGACTGTTGTCTAAATGTCATGTTGTCTCATTTTTTCAGAGAAGTTAAATAACCTGGTGACATGGTGACGTAGTGACACCTTCAGTTCTTCAAAAATAATTCATAAATGCCTTCCTCCTTTCATACCTGTTGTCAAAATGTCATGTTGTTCGCTCTTTTGGAGCCCAGGACTTTAAGCAGCTCTGAACCATGCAAATACAGTCACAAATGGTGGCATGTAATCTTTACCCAAGCCTGTTGGATTTGTTGTGAAAGTATGGACATGATTTCCTCCTGGTTCAGTTTGTCGAAAAGTCTTTTTTGTTGAATCGTTATAAGCTGGAGATAAAACATCATAACCGGCTTCATAGTCTGAGTTGTATAATGGGTGGTCTCTTAATGAGTGTCTATGGTCGCCAGAAAAGTTTGTAGTTCCTGTATGAGTGTGTGGTGGAAGGTTTGCTTCTTTAATTTTCTTCGAACCTCCTGTTTGCTTTGAATATCTAGCACAGTATAAGAATTTATCTACAATCTGCTTCCACGTACCAAAACCTAAAACTGTTGCTGGATTTGTTGAATTCATTGACGTATAAATAGAACCAACAGGATATAATGTTTGAAGTATTTCATTTTTCATGCTTGTAATCACATCATTTACTTCCGACTTCTTTGCATAATTTTCATCTACATAAGTTTTATCTGCTTTAAGGTCTAAACATCCTGAAACCCATCCTGTATCAGCTTTAATTTTAAAAGTCTCCGATGTCCATTCATGATACCATTCAACCTTTTCTTTAATTTCATTATCTTTTTCATCAACATAAACCAAATTTGCCTTCTTATTTAATTCACTATCCACATATTCCTTATCCACCTTCTTCATTATGTCGTTTAGGAAACCTTCTATGAATTCCTCATTTAAATTAAATCTTCCAATCTTCAAAACTTTAGGAAATGCATTTAATGCGTAATATCTCTGTTCTTCTGGTGGAATTGATGTTATATCATCCGTTATTCCTTTAATTTTTGAATTCATAAATAAAATTTCTTTTATATTTGATATCACTGCACCACCTTTGCAAACGAATTCGAAATGGTCATTTTTCAATACTATCTCCAAATCTCCATATTTCAACCTTTGCGTTTGTTCTGCCGTCTTTGAATTATATGCATATATGGCGTATGTAATGGTCTGAAGGACCTGGGCGCTTTGCGCCTTAAGTTGCTGTTGTTTAATCATTTATTACGATTTAAAAATAAATATTTAATCCGTTATCTCATCAGCTATTTTCTCTATTTGAAATTGCCATAATATTTCATTCATAAATTCTAAATCACAATCAAATAGGTCAGTTATTCTAAATTTAATATTTGATAAATCTTTTGAATGAAGAATAAATGAATTCCCGGATAATTGAAACGGATATGATAAAGAAAATGTGTTTAAGTTGATGGATAAAATGTTTTGTATTGATGGGTAAGAGTTAGGGTCTAATGTTTGGTGTGAAAATCTCATTGGGGTATTAACTTTATCACATTTGATTAAAATGAAATTGGAACCAGTGTCAGAATACAAAACATCCCCAACATCTTTTTCAAAATTTAATATCCCCAACAATGAACGAAGATGAGGAGTACAAAATTTAATTTTCAGCGGGAATTTAATAAGGTTATTTATTTCATCAAGTTTAAAAAGTTTATCGGGTTTTGATTTAAAATTTTCTTCATACCATACGATAAATGATTCATTTAAATAACTTAAAATCATGTTAATATCCCATTTCGCTATCACATTATTTATATACATATCATACGTTTTTTTCAAGGTCATCTTAATAAATGATATATAATCTGAAGGGTCTAAAAGAATGGGATTAAATTTACCACTCACAGAAACGAGAGTAACATTATAAATTCCGCTAACTGTTAAATTTAATTCACAGTTATTATTCGAAATAATATTGATAATTGACATTTTTATTACGATTAAAAATATGGTAAAGCGTTATTTTCCAGTGATAAATAAAACTAGAATAAGATTACCTCAAGAATTCATAAATTCAACGAATAAGAAATTCATTCATGTTATAAATTTTAGTGTTTTCAGAAAATATGAGTCAGTGTCATATTCATCAACAGGTTATATTTCACTTCATTCAAATTTAGTTCAATCAAACCCATATAATGACCATTTCATAAGATTTTCAGATGGTATTAAAAATGTAATTGATAGATTAAAATATGAACAGATTGACAATATCGAATTTTTGGAATTTTGGTTTAAATATCCCGATGGAAAAAAGATTAAAGTTAAAGATAAAGCTGATACTATAACAAAAACAATTACAATGACCGATCTGGATAGTGGGGAACAAAAAGAAATAAAACAAACGATAGAAACTGGTGAAATGTCAATTATTATTGATTATGATTCAAAGGATTATTATTCGATAATGTTAATGCTTGAATATTAAATAGCCTTAACAAAGAATTTTTCAAGTGATATTTTATATTCATCAACTATTTTATTATAAATATCATTATATGTTAAATGAAGTTCAGTTGTTGTTCCGTTCTTTGATATCTTAATTGTGCTAATATCCTTTATAGGATTTATTTTTGCAACTGTTCCGCAGCATGAAACCTCATCATCTATGAAAAATTGAATCTTAACGTCTGAATCTTGAACATCACAAAGAATGGCGATAATGTGAATTAATGATTCATAAGGTAAAATAATTAAACCAGATTGGTCAATTAAATTTATTATTGAATCATAATTATTAATTATTATATCACGGTAAATTTTCATTAATTCAGAATTAATGTCTATTTTATATGGGTTCTCGATGTTTGATGAAAGAGGTGGGGGGTATGTTGGATAAGTGGGAATTTCAACAGGTTCTTTACTGGGTTCAGATAAAATGATTGGGTCTCCATCTTCTTTATTTTGCTCCTCCTCCTTTTTCGGTAAGTCACGAGTTAATAAATTTGGTTGAGTTGCTGACCTTGTTAATTCAGGGCTAACATTAACTTTAACATTTTGAATAATTCGTGATTTATCATCATTTACGTTATAACCAACCGTAATCTCTGCTTTTGCGTTAGTGTTCTTTTGACTAGTGAAACGTCTTCTCATTTATATTCGAATAAAAAAAATATATTTAAACTTTTATTTTGCTGGAAGTTTTGAATCTATTATTCCCTGTATTTGTTCTTGAAGTTGATTTTTAGCTGGTTCATTGTAATTAATAGACCTAATATATTCATTAATTGCATTCTTATAATCATCTGATTTCTCAAATTTTCTTTTATCTAATTCCTTAACTAAATCATAAGTTAAACCTCGTTGCTGATATAATGGTTTCTTAATTAAATCTTTGAATGCTTGAGATAAAGCACCTGATGCAATTCTTGCTACTATAATTGGTTGGAATTGATGTTTAAGTTCATCTTTAACATTTGCGAAAACTGGATCGAATAAAGCAACTTTAAAGAATTTCTTAGCTGAAATTTCAGGTCTAATATTTGCATATTGACCATCAAACTGGTTAGAATATTGTGGTAATCCATCCGGTCCCTCTTCAATAGCATTTAATTCTTCATTGAAATAAGAATATGGATTATAACGGTATGAATTAATTGGACCATTTTCACCTTCTCCAATGTATTGTTTAACAGCTTTTCCATTTTCATCAAATTACATAGGATAACGTTCATTATATGCTTTACGTTTAGGATAATCAGTTATAGTTAATTTGTAACCATTTATGACTTTAATATTACCTTGACCATCAGTAACGAAAACTTCATTTATACCATCAGGTTTTCCATTTGGACCCGTAATGTCTGCTTCGTGTGCTTCCCAATTTGGACCTTGACGTTTGGCATATGCTTGAGCTTCTGGTAATGTTAAAACGTTTCTCATTTGTTTAACATCTTTTTGAAGACCAGCAACAATATGAACTAATTCTTTCATTCCATCGGGAACTTTCATAGTTCTATTATATGCACCCTTTTTGTTTGTCCCTTGTTTTAATGGAACCTGTAAAAGATTTGCTATTTCTGTCATGTTTAATTATAAATAAAAAATAAAAATTAATTATAAAAAGTTAATCAAATTTAACACCTCCTTTATTTAAATCAACTATTATTTTTCCATGTTCACCTAATTGCTGATATTGTGTGTAAAGTTCATTAATGCTCATTGGTAAATTCACTTGATAAAGCATAACGTTCAACTGTTGACGACTAAACCCACTGAAAATGACAAGGGTTGATAGATTTGATTTAATGTTTGTGCTTAATGCTTTGAAATATTGAACAGCCATAAAGAATGAACACTGAATGTGTCGACATTGGGTTAATAACTGATTAAAATAAGATTTCTCATTTGTTATTAGTTTTGATTTCACTGCATCATCTAGAAAAATGAGTGAATGCAAAAATTCTCTATCAAAATTTGAAATAGAAAGTGTTTCAAATAATTCATCCCGTTGTTTATCAATAATTTTATCCTCTAATCCTTGCTTCTTGATTGTATTATATAATTCTTTATACATTAAAAAGTTTTTTAAATAATCTTCTGCTTCTTCTTGTGATAAATAAATAATTGGAATTTTGATTAAATGCTTTAAAGATTCAAATGTATCATCTGAAGGTGAACCTGAACGGTTGATATAAATTAACACATGTGAATAGGGGGAAGTGTTAGCAATAATGATAATTTGTTTTAATATCGTTAATGTTTTACCTTTATTCTGTTTACCAATTGCTGCAGTGATTGAATTTAAGTAACATTCAGAATATGGAATTTTCATTAATTTTTCCTTAGATAGAGCATTTCTATTATCACTCAATGCTTCATTAATCATATCATCTACGTATGTATTATATACTCCTGCTAATTCTTCATAAGGGGTGGATGAATTTAAATCCATTTAATCAAAAATAAATTTATAATTTTAAACATTTCTATTCATCAATATTTCATCATATGAACTTCTATACTGTGGTGGTGTACCTGTTGGATGATATTTCAAACCTTCATCCGGTGTCCATGTCCAATATGTAGTCCTAGTAAACCAAACCTGAGGAGGATTTGTCACCTTTGAACAGTAAGTGTCATTTTCACCCTGAATGATTGGATAAGCTTTCACTTATACTGTAACTTGTGAGTTGAAAGTTTCTAATCCATCAAAGAATATACCCGCTCCATCACGTTGAACTGGAATAGTGCATAAGAATGAAGTTTGGTCTTTCCATGTTCTAGCTAATGGCGTGCCATCATCTGCATTCAGTGGTCTAGTTAATGAGTCCTCGTATTCTTCTGTGCATTCATTCACTCCATCTAAATCAGAAGCTTGAAGCATACGTGTAAAGAATATGTCGCCCACTGTGGTCATCGCTTGATCGGGGAAGTTTCTGGAATCTATAGTGACCTGAAGACCTCGAAGCATTGGATTTTCTAAAACTGTTCTTTGCATTGCATTCTTCGGAAATGCTAACACAACATCTGTAACATTATGAAGAGCGTATGAGAAATCTGAGCTAATACCTTCAGGAGTGATGCAACCTCCATTTAGTGAACGAACGTCAATATGTTGAGCTGGAATCATGAATGGATCTTCCTTACTGAATAAACGTGGTATTGCTTTAACTGATTCTTCAATTAAACCGTATCCTGGTGTAATGCATTTATCCTCTAAAACTTCCATCTTTGTGCATGAAATAATAACGTCATCAACTGTTGCGTCAGCAGATGTAGCGGCTAAGCTTGTAATTAATTTGGCAGGAAGTCCGATTTGTTGGAATTTGCGATCATATTTATAAACATGATTCATAATCTTTTCATAATTTTCATCAGTTATCTTTTCATAAACGTAATTTTGTAAATCAGCAACTCTTAACGGGTCAACCTGACAAAATACTAAAGTATCCCTGAAAACATAATATTTAAGAATGATATCACCAAATGATTTAGGATAATCATCGAACGCCTGAAATGCTAACAAATCATTTACCGGAATAATCATATCAAAAGTGACATCAACTTCTTCATTTGCTTTCTTGAAAACTTCTGAAGGGTCAATATATTTACCACATACTGAGTTATCATATTTTTGAACATTATTATATAACGAATGAACAAACTTTTTAACTTTCCTTTCTGATTTTGGTTTATATGTTGCAAATGCGAAAGATTCACGGGCGCAATCCATCTGAAGATAACCGGCATCACCTCTTTCAGTTTCTACTTCTAATTGTTTAAAGCTTTGATTTGATGATTTGTAACCAACGAATAAACGTATGCATTTAAAAGCGGCATCACATGTGAAAGCTTTATTTGAAACAAGAGTTGCTTTAACTTTGCGTTTAATATATGTGTCACCTAATTGGTTCACATCATGAGCTGGATTTGTAATTCTTAAATGAGTTTGTTTATCATCAAAAAATGGAGCATCAGAGTCATAGCATGAACTTTCAAGTTCTCTATAATATCTTCTACCGTCATTCTTTGCGAATATTTCATTTATCTTTTCGAATGAATGAAACACATTTCCATTAATCGGTTTAGTGTTTGGCACCAAATAGTTAGTCGTCATTTATTAATAAATAAAAAATCAAAATTAAAAGATGAAAATGAATTTTTAATTTTAATGAAATAATCAACTATGGCTGCAGGTATATTTAAGAAACTGTGGGATAAAGTAAAAAGAGGAGCGAGTAAAGTTTGGGAAACATTGAAGAAGGGAGCAAATTGGATATTTAAGAATAAAGAAGCAATTAGTGACGTTGCTGAATCAATAACACCAAAAGCTGCCCCAATAAGAGAAGTTTTAAATAAAGGAGAAAAAGTTTATCAAAGACTACAACCGATACTAAGATAAAAATAATTTTAAGCCGCTAAGCGGCGAGATGATCCATAGGATCTCATATTTATTTTTCCACTATCTACCTCCTATTTTATTAAGTATTCCTTCAGCAATTCCACCAACTGCGTTACCTGCTTGTGCTCCCATCGCTGGATTACCTGCTTTAGTACCTAATACTCCACCTATGATAGTTCCTGCCGTTTTCGCTACTGGTGCCAAAAAGTTTGCAACGGGTTTAATAATCTTTTTATGAACCCAACCCGCAGCTTTCTTAATTCCATCCCATAATTTTTTAAAGAATCCTGCAGCCATTTCTGATTTAATATTAATTAAAAAATATATTTCATCACTTATATTCTAATTTTTATTTAATAATAAATGAAACCGATTTTAAAAATAAATGAAACAGAGGAGGGAGAAATAAATGAAAGTGAAAATGTTCAACAAAAAATAAACGTTGTTAAACCAATTACTGAAATAAAAATTTTTTCATCTGTTGAAGAATTTAATGACTATTATGCTAATAATAAAAAATTATTTGAAGAATTGACAACGTGTAAATTGAATAAAATGTTTAAAGTTGATGGATTCAAAATTTCAAAAATAAAAGGGGTGGTTAGTTTGAAATCTATTCCTCAATCAAGAATCACCTCATTAATGAAAATAGATGATTTAACAAAAAGAATAGAAGAGATTGAAGAAAGAATGAATCAAATAATTGATTTCATAAATTCAAATAATCGCATGTGGGCAATTTTAACGACATTTTTTAACGCGATACGAGCGTAAGTCCATAGAATGTGTTTTGAGGGAAACTATAAAAATCCAAAATAGAGGTAAGTGCGCCATTATTACCTGCGAAGTTACATGGAATAAATCGAAGAGTAAGTACAAGATGATCTTGCATCTTTCCAAGTAAATGAAATTTATTAAAATTAAGATGATAATATTCATTTATAGTATGTGTATGATGTTGTTTTCAAAAATTTCTTCAAATAAAATGCAGAGAGAGGGTCAAAGTTGCTATTTGTCACTTTTCCACAAGAATATAATGGGGAAAAAGTTATCATATAGTTGATCTCATTCACTAAGGTGAGAGATGCGTGTAGTGTAATGGGATAAAACAATGGATTGCTGCTCTAAGTCCTAGGTTCGAGACACATTGGCTTCATTTTTCTCTTTTTATTGACGTAAACTATTCAATTTTTGTGTTCTCCATTCAAATTTCAGAATTTTTTTTGCAGATTTCACGCTACATTCGAAGTTACCTTTTGTAACAACCACCACTGCCTACGAAAGACGAAAGTGTGTCACGATTTCACCCGGAAATCCGATGGTTGTTTAAGAGTAAGCACTTTTGGTCGTATATTAATTTAACTAATATGAATTTGGATTGTGCTTTCCTTATTGATGTAATGATATTTTCACTAATAAAAAATGAAATATACACAAGAAAAAATTATTCAAAAATTATCATTGCATTTTATTTGAAGAAATTTTGAAAACACATCATACACATACTATAAATGAATATTATCATCTTAATTTTAATAAATTTCATTTACTTGGAAAGATGCAAGATCATCTTGTACTTACTCTTCGATTTATTCCATGTAACTTCGCAGGTAATAATGGCGCACTTACCTCTATTTTGGATTTTTATAGTTTCCCTCAAAACACATTCTATGGACTTACGCTCGTATCGCGTTAAAAAATGTCGTTAAAATTGAACCGCGCCTGACTCCATTATATTTATACCTCCTTTCATACCTGTTGTCAAAATGTCATGTTGTCATCATTTTAAAAGAAGTTAAATAACCTGGTGACACATGGTGACGTAGTGACACCTTCAGTTATTCAAAAATAATTAATCGCGGAATATCTGACATCATCTATATATATAGCTTCTTTTATAAAAGATAAAAAAATAAATTATTTTTTATTTCATTATGGTAGTGAATCTTTTATTCATGAAAATAATTATTTTTAATTTCTTTTACTCTCTCGTACATACTAGATTTAAAGAATTCAGAACATTTCCCATAATCTCCTAAATGTTTTCTTATCTTATTGGTTTTCCATTCATTATATGAAACTGTATAAACTTTATCTTTATCTTTGCATCTTTCATCTCTTCCAATATATTTATATTTCAATTTTGATTTATTGGTTTCATATTCATTAGCGTTTAATAATTCACAGTCTTCCTTTTTAAATATATTTTAATGCATCGTCTATATATATATAGATGTAACAAAAAGTCACACAACCCTTCATATCCTACTAAAATCGCTCGATATTGTATGAATTCTTACGTTTACAAAAAAGTCACAAAACCCTTCATATCCTACTACTTTATATTTGTTTCAAAAATATTAAATCTCTCAATACGGATCTAATGGGCTACATCAATGATAATCTTTTTCTATAAATCTCAGAGTTCTTGATGATACGAGCAGCAAGCACCATAAAAAATATAGAAAAAATTCACTTTTTATAAAATGATTTTTTCGCTTTTCATTTTTAGTTTTGAAACATGGATTGAATACAATGACGACACTTGGGAAAAATTGGTCGCTCATAGTTTTGAGAAACCTATATTCACCCTCTGTTTTTCTCCATATTGTCCACATTGTCAAGGGCTTCCTGAAGGATTTCAGCGTTTCAACAGAGAATTAGGAAATAGATCTGATATTTATATCATGACAATTAATTGCATGACTCAATACGGCTGCGCAAGACATCATACCCGCAGAACTCCAACAATTTCCTTAGTTATGGGTAATGACTGGAGATATTGGTCACACTCACCCGAAAGAGGACAAGAAGGTTGGGATAGATGGATAAATCAAACAATGAAATCTTTACTCCGCAAAATACATACTGAACAAGAATTAATTGACGCTCAATTTGAACCAAAAGATGGAGGATCAACATTTTATGCTCAAATTCCATCAGAAAATCATTCATTTCTCGAAACTTTCAGAAACCATTCGAAATTCTTCAAAATATATAACGATACATTCGTTTACTCAGTAAATTCATCGCTCACAAACCCAATCGTTACAGCATACCAAAAACCGGGTTGTCCAGTTATTTACAACTCCAAAGTCGAGCCATTATATGCATTCTTCGATAGACACAAATTCGGAGCATTACATAAATATCCATACTCGGAATTGTCAAAGATTCCAATTTTCAAAGTTGCCGCTTTATATTTCGTAAAAGGCAATCTAAAGCAGGTTCAAAGAAGGAATTTACAGCTTGCTGCACAAAATGAGTGTAGTAATACAGTTTACGGATGGGTTGATATGAAAGAAGAAGTTGATGAAAAAGAAAATTCAAAATATTTGAGATTTATTCGAGCATACGACCTCCCGTTAATGGTATTTATTGACAGAAGAAGCGAAACTACCGCTGTTTGGAAGAAAGCGTTGCTAAGAGCAAAAACAGAATTAATTCCAAATTTGTTCAAGAAGGCAGAATCAGCTCAACCTAAGGTTGTTTCTCAGCCCAGGATTTCACCAATTTCGTTAATTTTAGGAACAATTTTTGGAATTTTTGCTTACTTCGCATTTTCTTATTTCTATCCTCTCTTAAAACCTCACAAAGCACAACGTTATAATGAGGTGTGATGTTTATAATTATTTTTGTTTGTAATTTTCTAAAATATTATTTTTGATTTTAACAAATATTCATCCACTTGAAAACTTCTATCTAGATTTCACTTTGTGCAAATAAATCTATTGCTTTAGAGAGTTTAAAGCAAAAAAATTTTATATCCAAATTTTATATTCAGCCAAATGACACCAGCTTGTTCAAATTGTCTTAATAATTGCCTATGTGAACTTAAGCTCGCTATTATTGGATACAATTACAAAAATTATCTTGATTTTATGAAAATTTTCCGTAATTTTAGAATCTTTCTCTTACTAATATTGCGTTGTTAAAATTTTATAAATTATCGTTAGATTTTATCAACAGAAGATAAAATGGATGACTCGTTATTTGGACCTTGGAAGCTCGATCCACCAATAAATAAATGGCATGAATTCAAAATTGGTAAATTAGATGCATGGTATCAAGTTTCGGCCAATTCTCTTCAACCTGCAACTTCAGATAAATCTTCAGACAAATTATCTGAGCGCTCATTAAGCGACACACAAAATTCTTTAATTCCTCGTTTATCAAAGAAGACAAAATCAAATCAAAGTATCCAAGAACCAGTTGAAAATTCGCCAGAAAAATTTGCACCAAAACCTCAGCCTAGATTTGGAATCAGAGACAAGTGGGATGAGCCAAGGAGTTTTGAATTATTCATTTCAGCTCCACAATATTCTTTACTTGGCTGGCCTACATCTTTTTCTTCAATTGATGAAGCGATTGGATCTTCTAAAGAATTAGTTTCGCCTAAACAGCCAAGTGGAAGACCACAAAAACAAAGAAAATCTGGAATTCCAACAAAAAGATGAATAACATCTTTAATTTCGTTTATGACTTATCTGCATATCATGATTTCGTCTCATCTTATATTAATTGTTTGAAATTTTAAATCAAATACTATTTAATTAACTTTTTTTTTATTTTCATATCTTTCATCTGTACTGAGCTTTCTACAAATATCTTTCTTAAAACCTTAATGGAGATCAATTGATATCATATCGATTATGCTAAATGACCAAAATTATAAGAATTTATTAAAATTATTTTGGATTGATTATTTGAACAAATAATAACCAGCAACTTAAATTCTTATCAATAAAGAGCTATAGCCCATTCTTTTAAGTCAACAATCCTATATAAATCCTTGAGATTTTTTCATTTTTTATTGTTTGAAAAGGATGAAAAGAGAATAAAAGTGACACGATGAATGATTTAAGTTCGAAATTCCAGAGTCTGAAAGCTCAAATTACTAGTTTTAGGCATTCTATTTCCCAAGAGAGCGAGAAAATAGAGAACTTGTACGGTGGTTACGAGCTTGCAACGAAGGAAGCATCACTTCGAGCAAAGATAAGGGAATTTTACTATGTTAAGTGGAAAAATGCACTCTTTATGAAGTTGATAAAGCAAAAACATACACCAGAAAAATCAATTTCTTCAAGAAATAATCATCAAGAATTTCATACACGAGATATCAATATTGCCGACCAAAATTCATACAGAGCATCTAGCATACAAGATTCAAGCAATTATGAGCATCCAAGACGTTCAAGAATTCCTCCAAAAATAATTTCTAAAAAATATTCGCCAGTTATTGATGAACCACCTGCAATACGAGTGAAAAGACCTGAAAGATCTATCACATTGACATCTTCTGATGATGAAGAGTCAGAAATCGTAATAAAAGCTCGTCAATTACTTTTAAACACAAATAATGCTATTGAAGCCATGAATGCGAAGAAGAACCCACCACCAAGGAATACTTTTGCCGAAAGACTTGAAAAAATTAAACTAAAACCTCTTTCACCTAAAAATTCACCAGAAAAACAAAAAATAACACAAATACAGCCTCCAAGTGATTCCGAAAAGTTTACAAAACAAGAGCGATCAATACTATCAAACAGTGACGACGAAAATTTACAAGTTTCTCCATATGCAAGCGATGAAGAGATGATTGACATTTCTCCTTACGCTACCGAGTCAGATAACGAAAAAGAAGTCATACAGATCTCACCTTACAATTCAGAATCCGAAGAAGAAGAAATTAAAATTCAAATCAGTCCTTATCAGTCAGAATCAGATGAAGATGACATAATAGACAAAATACATGATAGCGAACTACTTGGCAGCAACCACGTCGAAATTAAAAAGAAAATAGAGAAAGAATTTGATGAAATTGGAATTTCATCAAATCTGGCATCAACTGAGAAGCCAGACGATGTAAGCAGTTACAAATTCAACTATAATGTATCAAATGTTGAATCAGAACAAGGAAAAGACTATCAAATTTCGGAATTTAAAGTTAATGAGCCACAAATTTCCGAAATAACTAATGAAGACAATGAAGAAGAGGAAGATATTCCAGAATCCCAGCCATCCTACAATAATCACCTCACAATTAACGATGTAATCTCTGTTGACGATTACGATGTTCCGAAAGAAGGAGGTGAACTTCCCCCGGACTTATCGTCCATTCAATCTTTTGGCCACGAAGTTTTCAACAATGAAAACGAGCAACACTATAATATGGACTCTTTGAACGATGCTGAGTCAGATGGGACCATGACAACAGCCACAAACAACACAGATCAAGCAGGTGTTGTTGAAAATATCAAAATTGAAGAAAATGAAGAAGAAATGGAAGATGAAAATTTCTCTGATGATGAAATCAAGTTGCCTGATGAACAAGATATCGACGGATATAATGATGATCAAAATAAACAGGATATTGATGATGATTTGAACCAATCAAAAGAAATTGCTGATGAAATTCTTAAAAATCCAGTAGTTATTCCTAAACCAACACCACCCAAAGAAACAAAACCATTGCCAATCCAATCCCAACAGAATATACCAGTTCAACAACAAAATATTTCACAAAAATCTGATGAAACGCCAAAACAAGTAATTCAAGAAGATGATGACGAGATATTTGTTCTTCAGCCTACAAATACGCGTGAAATACATCTTGATGATGAAAAAACAGAAGAAAAAGATGAAATTCCACAAAAACAAGATCCAAATGATATTGAATCGATGCCAGTTATTGATGAAACAGATTTAGATGATCCAGTCAATCAAGATACTGATATTCCTGTAATTTCTCTTGATTGAAATTATTTTTTCGAAAAAATTAAAAATTGTATGTTTTATTACATTGTTTTATTTTTTTATCCTTTATAACCATTATAAAACACCTCAAAAATCATTGATATTTTTTCTATTTTTCTTGATGATGAAAAAATTAAAAAAGAAAAATTTTTCCGATACGGGGAGTCGAACCCCGATCCTGTGGATGAAAACCACATATCCTAACCGCTGAACGATATCGGATTCACATGTTTTATTTTCCATTTTATTTATAAAAATAACTGACATTATTCCTATTTGCGTTGAAAGAGGTTTTAATTTATCTAACATATAATGTTCTTATATTGTTTATATAGAATTTATGTCTAACATCAAATCTGAAACTATAAATAGCATGAGAACCCCTCTAAATAGCAAGCCTAAGTTTTCTAACGTAATCACAATCTGAAAACACTCTTTTTGCTTGAATAATAAACAAGTATTCTTTATATTACAAAAATTAAACATTAATACAAAAAAATAACTCTACAATTTTGATTCATATTGCTTCAACTTTTGTTGAGCAGCAATAGCTCTTGCTTCTGTTGTTTTCTGGATAGCTCTAATCTCAGAAAGACTCAATCTTGTCTCATTAAGTTCTTTTGTGCATCTTTCCAAAGCTAATTTCAAAGCCGCATCTGTTTGCAATGCTTGTTCAAGTCTTCTCTTGTAGTCTTCCAAACAAGTATCATTTCTTAGCTTCTCTGATGATCTCTGCTGCCTTTCAAGGTCGAGTTCTGATTGCAAACCTTGCAAAGAGTTCTTTTTAATTTGATTCATTTCTTCAACGACTTTTTCATGGACTTTTGCAAGTTTTTGAAGTTTGCTTTCATACTTCTGTTTAACATTAGCAATTGCTTCTTCAAAATTCTTGTTATCGTGATCAGATTTGATAACTTCACGTTGTTGCAAATTAAGGATTGTTAGCTTTTGTTCTTCAATTGTACGCTTGGCTTCAACAAGTTCTGTTTGAAGCTTATCGTTAATTGGAGACTTTTCTTCTTTTGATGGAGAAGATTTAATTGTTTCTTTGAGTTTCTTGATGATTTGCTTCTGTTCATCACACTTCTTAGCAAGTTTAATCAAATCTTGGTCTTTGAACTGGGGTTCTTCAGTAATTTTAATTGGAGATTCAAATTTCCTTGAATATGTATTGATAACTTCACGGAGTTCTGCATTAGATGCTTTTTCTTGCTCAAGAAGAGAGATTTGGTGCTTCATCTGCTCTTGGAGTAAGTCATTTTCTTTTCTAAGGTCTAATGCGTTGTTTGCTCCTTGTAAAAGCCTCTTATATGAAAGGAGTAAGAGCTTTGATATTGCCTGAACTGCAATTCCTGCTTCTTTGGATACGTTAACAATGAAATCAGAAATTGAATTTTCTAGTTGATTTTCTGGAAGAGATAATATCCTAGTAATCTCATTCCTGATTCTAGCTGGTAATTTAAATGACTCTGCCTTTTGGTAATTGGCAAATTGGTTGACGAAAATCTGAGAATTTCCAATTGTTGTGCAAACCTTCTCGGAAAGTCCAGCAAGTAATTTAACTTGAGCACTCTGAGCTTTGAATTCTCTGACTAATGCAACAAAAGCTTCTTCGATGCTTGTTTTATATGCAATTCTTACAGATTCTGGTAATCCTGTAATAGAAACATCAGAAGCGAGATGGAAACCATCATCTTTAGGAGATTTTGTGATTTCTATTGGTTTTGAGACTCCTATTTCATCAATTTTTGTAATATAATTTTCCATTTTAGTAATTAACGTAATAAGTGATTTCCTTTGTTCTGTTAAGTTCTTTAAATCTTTATTTGCCATATCTTGGGCTATAGCTATTGCGTTAAAAGCGTCATTGTTATTTGCCTTTGCTTCCAATTGAACAATATGATTTTCCATTTCCTTAATTACAGATTGCTGCTCGTTTGTTAACTTTAACAATCTTTGGCATTCTTTTGTAGTATTCATTTCTGATGAAGTTAAACCTAAGTTTGTTTCTTTGTAATCTCGATTTTCAATAGTCAATTGATCATTAGCAGCAGCCAAATTTCTGTTTTCGTTCTTTAATGCCTCAATTTCTAAATTCATTTTTTGAATCTCTTGCATTAAAGCCTGCTTTTCGCTTAAAACTGCTTTGTATTCATCTTCCTTAATAGTATATGCTTGTAATTCAGAAATTTTAGCTTTGAGAGCTTCATTTTGTTGAACAATTTGAAAATTCTGAGAAACAAGCTCTGTGATCCTTCCATTGATAGCGCTTTTTTCTTGTTGAGCAATTTTTTCACGAGTATCAAGTTGAATTTTCAAATCTTCAGTTTGATCATGAGCCTCTTTTTCAATTGCTTCTATTTTTCGATCTTTGTAATCGCTAACAAGAGATAGAGTATATGCCAAAATCTTATATGCTTCAATAAATAGTTTATTTGGTCCAATATTATTGGAAGGGGCAAGTTTCATTTGCTCGAGATCATCAATAACTATCTGTGCTCTTCCTTCTATTTCACTTATTAAAGACTCTGTCCAGTTTGAAGGAGACTTTCCGTTTACTTTTTGCAATGATTTGTTTAAACTAACAATATGAGCATAAAAAGGATTGCTAAAGTTCCTATCAACATCATCACCTCCAGAAGTAATAACTTGTTCTAGAATACTTTGTCCTAGTTCTTCCAATTTTACTCCTTTCATAATAAAATTCAGTTTTTTATTTTTTTTAATTTTTTTTATTTGAAGGGAAGCTTCCGACCAGACAGCATTTTGATGTAATGAAGCCTCTACTCTATCATAGCAGTAATTGAATTGAAATTTGATCAGTAAATATCAATATGAACGATTATTAGCCTAGCTTGATATATTATAATTTGAGCATATTTCTGATAAATGAATATGATAATGCAATTTGAAATCTTTACCATGTGCTATTGCCAAATATCAGATAATCTGCGGATATAAGTAACTCATATTTCAAATATAGTTCATTTATTTCTCATCTCAATGTAAATTTATTATAAATTTTCAAATTCAACCAATATATTCTGCCACCCATTTAGCATGCGATTTATATGACAACAGTATAGCTTTGAATATTAATTACTGACCTAAGAATTAGCATATTGACATAATTGTGTGCTTCATAAAGACTTAGTTGCTAGAGGATTTAAGCAAAAATTTCAAGTTTGAATTGATATGAAAATATCTAAGGAAAAATTTAAATACTTTTGGTAAATTTGAAAAATTCATGGAAATTTTGCAAATATAACTATAACTCATTGCAGATATAAAAGAAAAATCTCTTGCATTTTTTTGGGAGATGATTCATGAAAAGAGATTTTTCTTATTCAACATCAATTTTCACTGCAAATAAAACACCATTTAATACAATGTAGATGACATTGAATCCAACAAAAACTCCAAAAGAAACAGCATCACCAAGTAAATCACCAACACCAGCGCCATCATTGGATCTAGCATTACTTAGATGGGAGAATCCAATAGACCATATTTCTCCTTATTTATGGATGGGTATTTGTATTTTGGCTTTAGTTGTTGTTTCGATTATTGTCATTGTTATTATTAGTTAAGAGAAAACTAAAGGTAATTGTACATAGATTGGAGGAGCTTCTGAATAATCAACAACATATGAATATACAGAATCCAGTTCGGAAGAAAATCAAGAGGAAGAAGAGCACAAAGTAAATGAAGAAAATGAAGGTTTAGTTTTGTTCTCTGAAAGAGAATTAACTGTAGAAACTGGAGAAAATTCTTACACACATTCAAGGGATTACGGAAATCCACTATAAATTATCTTCTCAGATTATTCTGATTGCACCGATTCCAAGCTTTCTAAAGAATTGGATGGAATCAAAAACTATAATAGTTTGCTAATATTATAAATAAAATGCTTGTATTCAACTATGCGATAATCAAATCTATTTTTTTTAAATAAAATTTTCTTTAAGGGTGCACTTACCACTTTCTGACACTCTCTCAAAAAGAGATATACGGGCGTGAAGATGTATAGAAAATAAAACCTTAAACAAGAAATTTGAGAGAATGTCAGAAAGTAGTAAGTGCACCCTTAATTCTAATGGAATGATCAAGTTCATTTCACACGATATCGAAGAAAATCCAGAACTAGTCCATTAATGAATATCACATGTTTATAATCTGCCGAATTCGTAACGAATATGTAGTTGATTATTTCACCAAAGCAATTACGGGGAAACAATTGATGCATCTTGGACCCCATTGGCAAAAACATCACTTAAACCTAGGGTTCACGACAGTATCGTCAGACAGTGTCTAATGCATAAAATAAAATGACAGTTCCTCTATGTTGGGTTGTTTCTGTGGACAACTGTTCTAAATAATGTCCAGAAGCCTCTTGAAAATATGGAATAAAAAAAAGCAAAGATATTGTAAAAATTATAATTTCATGTGTTAAAAACTGTGCATATTGCTTTTCATTTTTACATGGAATTATATCCTTTTCAATTTAGAGTTAGTTATTCTTTTTCTTTTTGGTATGTTTAACATATTTTTAGGTTAGTTATAACTAAAATCTTCTGCACCATGTTCAACTAATAAGTTAACGATTTCGTCTGATCCTGCTTCATGTGCAATTGAAAGAGGAGATTTAATAATATCAAGAGAATTTGATTAAACAATATTGAATATGAAAAGAAACAGAATGTTTTGAAATAATAGTTAATTTCATTTGATAAAAAAATGATGGATATTTATATAGAGATAATGTTATAAAATAATGATTACTATGAAAAGAAAGAAAATTTGATAAATAAATGATGGATATGAGAGGAAAGAAAATGTCATAAAAAATTGATCAAAATGAGAAGAAAGAAAGTGTCATAAAACAATGAAGAAAATGAAAAGAAGTAGAATAGTATAAAGAAATGATGAATATGAAAAGAAATATAATTCCATAAAACAAAGATGAAAATTAAACTAGATAGAATATTATATAACAATGAAGAATATGAAAAGAAATAGAATATAATAAAATAGTGATGAATATAATAAGAATGAGAAAAAGAATCATGTTAACATCAGCACCATGTTCAATCAAGCATTTAACAATTTCAAGCGATCCTGCTTCGATTGCAACAGATAGAGGGCATTCATTACTATTAAGAGAATTTGATTAAACAATATTGAATATGAAAAGAAAAAGATTTTCATTAAAACAATGGTTAATTTGAATTTTTTCGGAATTTGATAAATAAATGACAAATATGAAAAGAATAAGAATTACATCTAGCAATGATAAATACAAAAAGTATAAGAATGCTATAAAACTAAAATGAATATGAAAAGAGATAGAATGTAATAAAACAAAGAAGAATATGAAAAGAAATAGAATTGAATAAAACAATGAAGAATTTGGAAAGAAAAAGAATTCCATAAAACAATGATCAATATAAAAATAAATAGAATGTCATAAAACAATGATTAATATGAAAATAAATAGAATGTCATAAAACAATTATAAATATTAAAAGAAATAGAATGTCAAAAAATAATGAAGAATATTAGAAGAAATAGAATATAATAAAACAATGAAGAATATGAGAAGAACGAGAATGTGATAAATGTATAATCAATATGAAAAGATGGAGAATTAGAGATTGGGACAAAGTTGCAATTCGGCACTTTTTGTAAAAAAAATGGGGTCATACTCATAATGAATAGAGACTTATAGCCAAGTCTTGATATCATGCAGGGAGAATATACATTGATAAGCAATTATATTTTATAGTAGTAGTATTCAGAAATTCTTACAATTTACAATACAATTTTCAAAAATGGATAAAGACTTATAGCCAAGTCTTGATATCATGCAGGGAGAATATACATAGATAAGCAATTATATTTTATAGTAGTAGTATTCAGAAATTCTTACAATTTACAATACAATTTTCAAAAATGGATAAAGACTTATAGCCAAGTCTTGATATCATGCAGGGAGAATATACATAGATAAGCAATTATATTTTATAGTAGTAGTATCATAAGACAAATTACGGAAAGTGAACTCAAACAAAAAGTGACACAATGCATTTGCCAACCAAATAACTTTACAAAGCAAAAACTTAAATTACTTGTCAAGCTTACTATTCTTATTTTAACAATTAAAAAATTAAATTTTATTTTTTATTTAAAAAATCATCTTATATCATCTGATATATATATATAACAGCATTAATATTTCAATGATTCACAAATCAACTTTTTCATTATTTTGCACCCAAGTTTTTGAACTTTCTCGAGGGAATGAAAGGGTAAGAGGTATACATTATGAATATATACCTCTTACCCTTCCATTCCCTCTCTGACAGCGGGAAACTTTGTCTGAATGTTAAACTATTCAGACAAAGTTTCCCGCTGTTTGCGAAGGAATTGTTGGCTATGATGTACTGATTCATGATCAGTACATCATAGCCAACAATTCCTTATACAAAGTTCAAAAACTTGGGTGCAATCAGTTCTGATTGCACCCAAGTTTTTGAACTTTCTCGAGGGAATGAAAGGTAAGAGATATCCATTTCCTTTCACCTTCGTTCTCAATAATTAACTTATAAATTTTTTAAAGCAAAAAAAGTCTGATTTTTTTGACAAGTAAATATATAGTGAATTTATCCGACCAAATAAGTGTCACTTTTTCGGTTCACCTCACTTTCCGTAACTCGTCTTACAACAGTAGTATTCAGAAATTCTTACAATTTACAATACAATTTTCAAAAATGCATAAAGACTTATAGCCAAGTCTTGATATCATGCAGGGAGACTCTCTACAAATACAAAAATTGATTATCATAAGGAAATACAAATTTATCAATTTTCATGTGAAAATTACATAAATTTGTTCTCCAATAAATAGCAATAATACTTTGAATGTTATATTAAGTAATATAGCTTCAGGTAAATAAGCTTACACTTCAAAAATATACTGTTTATTCATTAATTTTAAAAAAAGTCCAAATTATCTAATCTTGCTTACTCTTCCTTTAAACTTCTTTGTGCCAAATTTAATATTGCCTTCAAAGATGGAATAAGGACATTAGGTTCAATCCTTCGGCTTTCGACAATTTCCAAAATGTGTTGAATTAATTTCAAACATTCATCGTGTTTTGAAGCTCTTTGCTCAACAATCTGATTACCTGCCCTTGTAAGAATTCTTACTGCTCTTTCTTCATTCAAAACATTAGCGACTTGAACCTTAATAATCGCATTTGGAATCACAACAGTGATGAGAGTTATGACGATGTCATCAATGCGCTCATTTTTCTTACCCAAGAAAAATGTTTGCTTTAATTGATGAAAGTGTGATTCCGCAATGTTATTCGTGGAATCACCTTCTCCACGATATAACATCATCCAATGTTCTTTGGTTCTTCTCCATTGTTTATCGAAATACTTCAAAGCGTGCGGTTTAGAGATGTGAAAACTTAAATTTTATAATCCCTGGGATGCACTTTCTTCGTTTTTTTTAAATTTTTGGGATAAATTTTGACATCTTTTTTTTTGCTGGCGACCCCCCCGTTTAGGGCATCAAAAAAACATGTTGTTTCGTTTCAAGATCGGGATATGTTGTGAACCCGACTTCTTTCATTAATGAAGTGATTTCTTAAGTTGAATAAAAACAAATTTGATTGAAATTCATACAAAATTTCTTTTTATCATTATTATTTAAGATGCTTTTTTATGTTGAATTGTTAATTTTTTTATTTCCACCTGGGATATTTTGAATTGGGCTAGCCCAATCCCACCTCTCAATTTTCTCTCAATTGGGCAATGGGGATCCCATATAAAATGTATTGTAACAAAATTTTACATGCATAATATAGTACAATTAAACAACATTCTAAAAATATTAAATTCACATCATTTACTTGAAGATTTTATATTTTCAACAAAAATTAATACAATAATTACATTAAATTGAGGAGATTTATAATATTTATTATAAATTAAAATATTATTACTCATTAATTTGTTGAAATATTGCATTTTAGTGGTAAAAATTAAAATTTAAGTTTACATGGAGAAAAAAAATTTTTAAATTCCAAAAAAAAATTCAATTGGGATAACGATAGGGACAAAAATTTAGAATCCCCATATGCTTGGGATAAAATCACATGACTAGTGCGGTTCTTCTTCTTCTAACATTGTTGTCAAGAACTCATATGTTTCATCAGACTCTTCAGCCAGCTTTTCTGCATTCGTTGCATCTGCACGTAATGTCAAAAAGTCCATTGCTAAATAGAAGTTCTCAAAATTCTGTGGATTGTCAAAATAGCTTCCAACTTTTGCACATGCGCGTAAAACATGCACAGCGCACCAACTGAGCTGCGCAAGAGGAAATCCGTCCTCAATTGCGCGAGCAATGTTTAGCGCACAGTCAGCGCTCCAATGCTGTGGATCCAGGTGCGCAAACTCACAGAATTTCACCAAACATTCTTGAATTTTTTCAGATGTCTGAGGGTTCACTAAAAAATAGCAAAAGGGGAAAATTGTGTTTTGACTTGTTTTCATTGTTACTGCAAACAATTGGATCTTTCCTTTAATTAAAGAATGAGTGGAATCGACGTGGAGAGGGTTATCAATGCTATGCACCAATTCTTTTGCAGCAAAAGGTGCATATATGATTGTAAACTCGGAAAAATCTCCATTGTAATCAAATTGAACGAGATCATCTGGGCACTCTTCCTGTAAATTATTCAAAAATGCTTCCAAAGAAGTGTAAGGATCGTTTGATAATCTTTGTGCAATAATCTCATCAAGGCGATAAAATTTGTGCTTTAAAGCATCAGTAGACTGCGCGAAAAGTAGGGTTGTTAAAAATATCAAAAATTAGCGTTTTGAAGACACCATGGTGTCTTATAATTTTCCCTTCCTTATTGGCGTGTAGAAATAAATGCGCCAATAGATTGAAGAAGAAGAATTGTAATAAACAGAAATTCATCAAAAGTGACAGCTCTCAATTTTTTGACATTTGTAAATTCTAAATTGAATGAGAAAAATGAAATAATACTAAGCATAATACAATATTCTAGATTTAATTATAATTAGGAAAAAGTTAGTTTTGAGAGTACTTTTCATAGGCATATAGAATGAAATCTTCTGAAAAATAATATCACATAAACTCATATTATTTTCTAATATATAACTATTTTTTAAAAAAAAAAGGTAGTGGGGCTTCCAGGCACTTCGTGCCCTCTAGCCCCGAAGATGTTTAGTATAAATGAAGTTTTTATTCGGAAAATTGTTAGTCTTCTGGTGTGAATTCGGAGGACTCTTCTTCTTCCTCCATTGCTTCTGGGAAGAAGCCTTCTTCTGGGTCGAAAACATTATATAATGTGTCGCTTTTCACAAATTATATATGTTTTCATGCTTTGTCACTTTTCTGTCACTTTTCAGGGAAAAAACATTTTTATTATTATATATAAATGAATTTTACAAAACCACCGTTACCGTTCTTTGGAAATAAGAGTAAATGTAAAGATATTATATTGAGAGAACTTAAGAAACTACCGAATGGTCTAACATTTGTAGATTTGTTCGGTGGAAGTTTCTATATATCCCATTTGTGCCATACAATATTCCCAGACTCAAAGATTATATGCAATGACTTCGACAACTATATGGACCGTCTCAAACATATTCCAGACACTAACAAAATATTGAAAGAGTTAAAAGAAAAGATACCTATAGGTAAGATGGAACGTATACCAGTAGATAACAAAAATATTGTGAGAGAGGTTTTGAAAAAAGCAGAATATATTGACTGGGATACGATATCTGCTAGACTATTATATAGTGGTTCTATAAGAGTTCATGACATTGAAACACTTATGTCAAAAGTTTTATATCTTAACTATACAAATGTTTTCAAAGAGGACATAGAAAAATATATTGAGGGTATAGAGTTTGTGAGATGTCATTGGACAGAGTTGTATGAAAAATATAAAGACAAGGAAAATGTTTTCTTTATAGTGGACCCGCCGTTCTATAACACATGGGATTTTCAATACCAAGTAGACTGGACTTTGAGAGACTCTTTAGAAACTTTAGACGTTTTACATAACCATCCATGCTTTTACTTTACATCCGATAAAAGTGGTTTGGAAACCGTTATGAGATGGTTAGAGGACATACATGACTATGAGTTTAGATATGACAAGATAGAATATGAGAGAGTCCTATAAACCGGAGAAAGTGTCATAACAAAGAAATTTTATTAGTAAGTAAATGTGGTTTGAAATAGGACTACTTGTTTTAGGTTTTTTCCATTGTGTCATTTATTTCTTTGACGTGGCAGAAAAGTACAGAGAATATGAAGATGAACCAATGCCTGCAAATGTTCAGTATATGTACTCGTAAGAGATTTTTTATCTAATATTAAATGGACGCACAGAACTTAGCGAATGCACAGCAACCTGGACAACCAAACCCAGAGAATATTCCAAATGAAGTTAGAATACAAACTGCAATGGCAAACTATGGTCAAGTGCCAACAGATGTACAAATGCAAACTGCCATGTCAAATGACGCTGCGTTAGGTTTGCCACCATGGTATGCAAATATGAGATGGAAAGAGTTTTATACAAACCCTGAAGTGGGATATAAACAACTTTATGCAGATGACGCGAACACAGGAGTTGACCCAGAATATGTTTTCTACCAGAGGAGAAACAGAATGTATGAGCTCCAGTTAAAGAATGCTATGGAACTCAACAGGAAACGCAAAAGACTAGGCGGACATTAGATTTTTACATATAGTAAAATGGGTTTCTTCAGTAGTATTGGAAACTTCTTCAGAAGAGTTGGAAGAGGTATATGGAATGGAATAAAAACCGTAGGAAGAGGAATTTGGAACGGAGTCAAAAATATTGGTAAAAGAGTAGGTCAGTTTGTTGGTATTATACCTAAAGACCCTGAACCAGAAGAGCAAGCTCCTGTTATACAACAGCCTGAACCTGCACCACAGTCTAGTTGGCAACCAAATCCAACACCTCAACCGTATTAAAAAGTTATATTTTTACCGTTCGATAGTAGTTGTATATGAAACTAAGTTCTAAGTAAAACGCATGGTATAATGGAATTATTCTTTTTCTTCCATCTGTAGTAAACCATACTTGAAAGTCTGAAATACTTCCACTTGGTGGTTCGTATAACTTTGTAGGTTTTTCGTAAAAGTCATTTGCCAAGCATAAGAAAGAGTTTTGGGCGCCAGAAAATGAAGCATGAACAATAATAGCATCTTGGTCGAAAACATTTTCATATGTTCCATTAGGGTTTTCGACTTCATAAAAGTCTGGGTGTACTGGATATGCTGCAGGCTGATTTAACATCCTCATAAATCTATACCATGCCAAGTTGTTATATTTTGTAGAAATATAAACGTTTTCTCCAAGGTCTTCTATTTTATTGATTTTAACAGTTGCATTTTTCCTGTCATAAATAATATCGAGATGGTACTCTCCCTCGTCAATGTTATACTGGTTTGCATATTCGATATAGATATCGTTTATTTTTTCTTGAAAAGCTTGAAGAGTTGTTTCTAAGTTTACAAGCAAACTAACTTGTAAAAGTTTTCCCTGTTCAAATTTCTCATACATACGTTTTTCTTTGTTATAGTATCGAACTTCAAAACCGACCGTAAATGGGAAACCATGTATGGCTTCTGAAATGAACTTCATTCTACGAAAGCCAATAGCTTTTGTGACAGATGGGTCTCTTAGCCATCTTAATGGGTAGTCAAAACGATAGCCTTCATGCTTTACGGTCTCTGTCTCAAACTTTTGACCGACATTAGTAAAAAGTTCATCTAATGGTTTAGTTGTAGCAACTCTTGAATTTTCTTTTTCTATTGGAAGCATATTTTATCTAGAATAAAAATGTCGAAAGATATTGCTTCCATGAGAGAAATACAACACAACCGACAACTCATTGTGCAAGCTCTAAATAAGAACACAACAAACTTTTCAAACTATTCTAAGATATCTGAGTCATTGAAAGAAGGAAACTTAAAACTGACATTAAACCCAATGACAGATGAGTTTCTGTTTCAAGACAATAAGAACCATACTGTCTGTATAAATCCAACAAAAGGAACTTTAAACGAGAAACCTATAAATGAACTTCTTTTGAAAGCAGATGTTGACAAACAAAGCTGACAAAGAATATGTAGACGATGCAATAGCAAAAGAAGAAGAAAGAGCTAACAATGCTTATGCAACAAAAGAACATACTCATCCTGAACTAGCAGACAAAACATATGTTGACAATAAAATGTCAAGTGAAGTGACAAGAGCTGAAAACGAATATTCTAAAAAGACTCATACACATTCTATATCTGAAATAACAGACTTAAACGTTAGCCTTGAAAATAAGGTAGATAAGGGACTTATGGCTAGTGTGTTAGAGAAGAAAGCGGATAAGGAATATGTGGATGAAAAAGATAAAGAAATTATAGAAAGGGTTGACTGGTACCATGAACGGACATCGAAGATTTTAAAAACTAAAGCCGATACAGGATGGGTTTCAGGATGTTTAGACCTTAAAGCAGATAAAACTTATGTTAACGATGAGTTAGAGAAGAAAGCAGACAAGAACCATACACATACAAGTTTTACAACTGTTGCTATAGAAAGTATTGAAGGAACGGTTGAAGAAACTGGTGGGGATGCAATATATTGTAAACCTCCTAACTTTCCACAAGGTTTAACATCGGATGACGACATAACGACGATGAGAAACATTAGATGTAAAGATGTTTATGTCATGAAGGATGAACATAATATTAAATTCACTGCTCAAGATTTATATGACAAGAAAGCAGACAAAACAGAGCTTCAAACATTAAAGACAGAAATACTTCAAACATTATATCCTATAGGCTCTATTTATACGTCAATGAACTCTACCAGACCAGAAGTAGTACTTGGTTTTGGAACTTGGACTCAAATAGTCGACAGGTTTTTGTATTGTGCAAACTCTTCAAAGGAAACAGGTGGAAGTAAAACGATTTCAGGTGAAAATTTACCTGCGCACAGTCACTACATAGATTTAAGTACATCTCAAGCAGGTTGGCATAAGCATAGATATTGGGATTGGTCAGCAATGACAAAAGGTAAAGGATATGATGTTAAAGACAACGTTAAGTTTGCTATAGATTGTTACTGGAGTAACACTGAGGGAGGAGGAAACCATACACATCGCGTTTCAGGATATACGCAAACAACGGGACAAAGTAAAGACTACATGCCACCTTACATGACAGTTTACGCATGGTATAGAAATGCTTAGTCGTCATTTTCAACTTCTTTAGCATATTCGTCAGGAGTTGTCTTATATTTGTTAGGAACTGTCTTTGAAAGTATACCACCTTGAACTTTGACAAGTTTGAAACGAGGTCTGACAATAGTAGTTTTATCTTCTGCTTGCAGTGTGTACATTTTGCCATGTTTGCCTAAAACTTCATAATATTCTCTTGTATACTTTCTTCTATTTTTACGAACACGAATGTGAGTACCTGTCGGGTTCCCATTGTTGTCATAGTCAATAGTATTTTCATATGGGTCGCGTTTAGGTATTTCTATTTTTACTTTGTCACCTTTCTGAAGTTTGAAGCCCGGCATTCTTTCTTGTTTGTCTCTTTGACTAAATTATTAAATATATAGTCTTTCTCTAAGTCAGGGTTGTTTTTCATTTCTTCGGGGGAGTGGTTTCCCAAACCTTTTTGTTTACGGCTATTGTAAATATTTAAAACTTGTCTCATCTTTGCCATGGAGAAGTGTCTATATTTGTCGTCATATGACATTTCATTTGCTTCACCACCTTGTGGTTGGTTTAAGTCTCTTAACATTTTATACAACCGTCAATGACACCAAGAGCAGAATGGTTTTGGTCGACAATGAAATATTGGTTTACATTTTTTGAACGCAGATAGTTTTTTACATCATCTGATTTGAAAGAACTTTCACAGTCAGATGTCAGTTTTGTTGGATGGTATTTGTCAACGAATATTGTCAAAGCAGTTTTCACATCTAAAATATTTTTGGACCATAATGGTATGGCTTCACAGTATCTTGTGTTTTGACCGACAAATATTAGCCAGTATGGTGGTCCATCTTCTCTATACCTCGGAATGTTTTCCAAGATATCCATAAACCAAGCATTTGGTGTTGAACTAAAGATTTTTATCATGAGTGCTTTCTTTGTCGCTTTAGAAACATAGGGGTCCTTGTTTGGATTCGTCATTTTTTAACCCATAAGAAATGGGTTTATTTGGCGCATTAGCAGGAGTTGCATCTAGATTTTTACCCGCAGTGGGAACAATAGCCAGAGGTGTATTTGGAGTTGGAAGGAAGATTTTGAGTACATTAGGTATACTTAAAGAGAAAGCACAACCTATTATACAAACTGTACAGAAAGGTTGGGATGTAGCACGAGATGCAACAAATCTTATTCCAAATCCTGAAACAAGAGGAAAAGTTCAAGGATGGATGGACAATGTAGGAAGACAAGCAGGAAACTATTATAACAAAGCAAATGACTACTATAACCAAGCAGGACACTATATGGACCAAGGTGAAAGATTCTTTAACAGAGGATATAACCATGCACAACAATGGGTAAACAATAACCAACCTCAACCGCCTCAAACGTGGGGAATGTAAAGTTTTTTACTGAGATGAAATGAACAATACAGCATTGAGACAAATGGGTTCAAGATGGATTTGTCGACTTCCAGCAGTTACACAACGTGTTTGTCAAGTTCTTCCTATACCTCAGGAAGTTTTAGACCGACTTAAAAAACCTAAACAACCAGTTGAAAACAAACCAAACTAAAATTTTTTACTGACCTGAAATGACCGAAGAAGTTGAAACGGTAGATTTGACACCACAAACAAAAAGTTCAGAACCATTGTCAAAACCTGTCAAAGAACTTACAGATGAAGAGAAAAATTCAATAATAGAAAGTGCCAGGTCTGGAAATACAAACCCTAACTACAAAGTCACTTTTCATAGAAATGGAACGGCTAGTATCTCAAAAAGAAACAGACTCTCACAAATAAAATATTGAAGTCTGAAGGAGCTTTCGAGACAACAGATGGAAAAGTTTACTTCACTGACCAACAGTTCATTATAGAACATCTCATTGACTTAGAGTCGAAATATTCTAAACTTTACAACAAACACAAAAAGTTGAAAGGAAAACAAAAACAAATGGCATATGATATTTATGAAGATGTGACGACACAACTGTTCCTGCAAGTGAAGTAAAGTCAGAGGAACCGAAAAGTGACGAAAAAACCGATAGAAGAAGAAAAACCAAAAACTGAAGATAAACACAAAACCAAAGTTTAGTTTCCAAACTAAACCAAGTCAACCTTCATTAGCTGGTATGGGTTGGCGTCAAAGACTTATGGCAGCAGGTGGTTATGTAAAGTAAAGAAAAAAAAAAATATTTTTTTATTTTTATAAAAATGCCCCCATATAGAATGGATAGAAAGTCTGCTAGAATAAAAGCAGAGTTACAAAGATATGTTGGAGAGTTTCGAAGAATTTTAAATATAGGAAGGAAGACCCATAAAAGTCTATGACAAACTGGCTGGTCTTCGCTACGAAATGGATTTGGAAACAGCACGTGCAAATTATCCAAACAGACTAGAGAGGTTAGAAGAAAGAACGTCTTATGAACATGCCTTTCGATGTTAGTGAACCTCAAGTTGAAGGACACGACGGCTTTGCCAGATTCTACTGGAAACATGACGAACAATTGCATCCTTTGAGAAGGAAAAAAGAAAAGGTGAAGACACACATGCTCCCATGGAAAGAACAAGATATGCATATGAAAAGTATCGTGAAGTTAGAAGTCAAATTACATCTGGTCGAACCTTTACAGTAAACTTTGACGAAGGAAAGAACAAAGAAGGCTTCATGGGTGTACTTGCTGCCATACAAGACGGAAATAAGAAAGGACACAATCTCAGATTGACCATAACGGATTTGGATGGTCACATTTACTATGCAAATGGCAATGAACAAACAGCTGCAAAACTTCTTGACGCTTTCAAGACTACAAAGAGAGAACAAATGGTTGACTCCGACTCAGACATTTTGAATGCAATTGAAGGAATTGCAAGTGTCAAGTTCGAATAGTACCAACCTAACCCTCAAGCAGTCAGACAACATGCTGGATACTTCCCGTTCATAAATAAGTCTGACATTGACTTGACAAGGTATGGAATTTACAATTCAATTGAAACAATTGTCAATGAACCTTGCATTCTTACATGTCTCAGGAACTCTGGTCTTGTACAGATGAGAAGATGAAGTATCTTGAGTCATGTGTGAAGACAAGGTACATTCTCAGAGGTCAATTGGCAAAAAATTGCACCGTTGGCAAATGTCAATATCCGAGTCAACATACCTACAGCTAAAGGTTCTTCACATGACGACTATGTTGTTGAGTTCAATTTACCATGGTTGAAGATTGCAATTGTCCACAACCACTTCATGTTGAACGAAAGTCTTACAAACCCATTGTTCGGAAAAGGCAAGTGCAACATTGTCAGAGCTGTAAACATTCTTTTCGAGAAAGGTTTGTTGGAACCAATTCCAGATGACAAGCTGACAGAAAAACTTTTGTACCAAAAGACGAAACAAACTTTTCACTGTTAGCAAGACCAAAAGTTGTTCCAGACAAAGTTCTAGTACAAAAGAAGTACACAGTTCCACAAGGAGTTGGATTGTTCGGATACCAACCTGAACCAGAAGAACTTCCAATGAGGTTGCAAGAACTTCAAGATGCTATAAACAAACTTCCATTGAGACATCCAATTGACGTCAAATTGTATTGGAGAGCATCTGAGTTAGGTCAGAAGGTTTTATATGAAACAGGTTGCTTCGACGATGTTTATGAGATAACAGGAGAAGTTTCTCAGAAGATAAGAGACTCACTTGAATTTCCACAAACTGGACCAATTGGTTGCGACAAGTTCGACTCAAACGAAAAAAATATACTATGTCGACCTTAACGCTGCATACATGAGGTTTGTCCAATATATTCCGACTGGAATTCCAAACGAAGATGGTGAGTTCCCGGCGAAGGAACTATACAGTTGGAAAAGTCATACAACAACTGTATGATATTAGGAAAGCTTCAAACCCCAAACTTGCAATGACACTCAAATTGCTTATGAATTCGACATGGGGATATTCCATTAAGAAACCTCAAGAGATGAAGAGTAAACATTATGAGAAGTCGACAACTTTGTTGAAAGGTTTTCTCCTTTTGTTTTGAAGTACGAATTCACTCAAGGTCAAAGTGGCTTAGTAACCACATTAAAACCTATTGTCGAACATTGGTCTACCCTCAGTTCGCAAAGGCAGTCCTTGACAACTACAACAAATTCTTCTCCGAAGTCAAATCCAAAGTGAAGGTTTACTATGAGAACATTGACGCACTCATGACGAACGAAGAAGGCTATAACAAACTCATTGAAATGGGAATGGTCGGTGAAAAGATGGGCTGTTTTAAGCTAGATAAGGTATTTTCTGAAGTTCATGTCCTCTCCAAGCGTAAGTACTGGGGCATACTTGAAGACGGCACAGAAATAAAACATTGCATGAAATAAAAAATTTATTTGAAATGTACGCTGAGTTTGTTGGAGAAGACCGTTGGGAAACTTGTTTGTTAGATGAGAAATATGAAATGGCATACCATTTTAAAACAATATATTTTTACATATATTAAATGCTTCAGGTTGAAAAACAAAGAACAAAAGTAGCAGATACAAAACCGTTAGACTATATCTTTACAAATGCTGGTAGGACTATTTCAGATGAAGAAATTTCATCCCGAGTATACAGGTTTGACTATCCAATTCGTTGGCTTCAAAGTCCTTCAGATGCAAAGGCAATAGGATTTAGAAGAGTTTTGTTTTCAAATAGAACTAACGCATTTATGTTCGCAGTATATTTTCATGGGCAGTATAAAGGTTCTGGTGGTCTAATAGACAAATTTGACGAAATGAGAATCTTTACAGTTCGTTCAGACGAAAGTCTTGAGAAAACTCTAAATGACTTTCAAACTCAAATGAACAAATATTATTGGGAATTTCAAGAAAAATACGACTCTTTACTAAATGGAACATACTATCTGAAACTAGAATATGACAAGATGAACTCCACCGTTTCATTTCAAAAGATTGAAATTAACCCTCCAAGAGATACAGAGTTTTTATTTTGGAAAGTAGACAAACGTTCTTGGGCACAATTTCTTCGGTTACTAAACCAGA